GAAGTGCTCAAACTGGAACCAGAAGACTTCCAAGCAATTGACCATGATATCAGACAGTTACTAATTAAATACGGATTCACATCCAACCTGCACGTTTGGAGAGACTGTATCTGCTAAGGGACGAGTTAAGACGTAGGTTTCACTGCGTTGAACAAAGAAGTGAGCATATGCTTCTGCAACCTCATAACGTACTTGTAGAAAGTGCGCCCATATCTAGCAGGAGAATCGTGATTTTGAAGCAGGAAAGGACTCACACCACATACTTAACAATTTTTGTGCACTACCTTCAGTTTAAATACAACCTCATAAAAAATCCAACCGTCGAAAACGTATTTGAAGCTCAGAAAACGCTCCTGTGTAGCAAAATAGAAAATAAAATTCGTCATGAAAAGTTATAAAAGATGTGCAGAAATGAGCCTCAATGTCAAATTCATCAATGAGGCTACGATTTGGAAATATTACCCAACAGGATGAAGCTCGATACTGTCACCTCCAAGTTAGAAATATGTTTGGAGCTGAGAAAAGTACGTGCCAACATTGTGGGCAACGTGTGAAGACGGCTGACCATCTAGCAATGCAGTGCGAGATGTTATATCATTACTATACTAGAAGACACAATGAGGTCGTACGATGCATTCATTTAGGACTTTACAAAAAGTATGGTCTAAAAGCATTTTCACGCATGCGAAGCCACTCCGTTCAGAAAATTGTCGCTAATGAGAACGTTGAAATCAAAGTCGACACGTGAGTGAGAACTGCAATCAGAATAAAGGCGGATCGACTGGATATCATGATACACGATAAGAAGCTAGTAAGGTAATCCTGATAGAGGTTGGCATCACTGGTCAGTACAGGTTGATAGCAGTTGAGACCGAGAGAAACCGAAAGTAGTATGATTTACTGGCTAATAAACTTAAGGCAGAGATGATTTGCAGGACGAAAATAATTCCTAAGTGGTGACTTGGGATGGGATAGTGACGAACTTCCACAATCGTAATGCGAGGGAAGTATATCTGATCATATTGAGGCATATATTTCAAGAAAACGCTATCTGATCATGTTGAGCATATATCTCAAGAAAACGCTCGAAAAATCTCATTCGATCATCGCCGTGGATTCGACGAGGACGAAGTAGCGGAGATCAGCACAGCAGAATTGAGCGCGGGACGAGTGCAGCGAAAATGCCAGAATAACGTTCCAGCACAAGAACCAATAATGAAGAAAAGAAGAATTACCTCCGTATTCACCATTAATAAATAATAATAAAATAGTTAATCCGAAATTGTAACTATATATAAATCTTTTTAAATTTTTAAATTTTTGGAAAAGCAATCACTACACTGATACAGAGCTAAACATAAGATTAAGCTAACTAAAATTAGAGCTTTATTCACTTTTGCCATTTAGCCTCAGAAATAGAATAGACAGCAAGAAACAGAAAGACTACTGTGTCAAACACTTGCATTTCACAATAACTTCCTTTGAATTGAGTTGACAGCAACTTTTCATCATCGAAGCCAACTTTTTGCTAGAATTTAAAGTCAAGTTGTTGGTTATCTGAAAGATAAACATTGCAAGCTCAAAAGCAAATTTTTATTAGCTAATTGTGTTAAAAAATGAAATGAAATTTGTATTTAAATCATTAAATTGAAAGTAAGAAACTTTATACTCATTTTTAACTTAGTGTCTACGTAGTGATTTGCATTTTCACAACTCTTGAAATTAAATCTAGTTTTATTTGAATCGGCAAACTTTGGCAAATTAATGGGCAGTATTTGATGTACATCCAAGAACTGGTGCATTAACGATCATAAGGATTGATTTTTAAGTGCTACATAATTATTATATTTCGGAGTGACAGAGATTACCGGTCAAAAAACGAACAGTTGAAAAAATTTTTAGGTCTAATAATTTTCAGAACATCAGTCAGTTATAAAACGACCGAGTATCAGTGAAAAAACGATGTAAAAAGTCAATAATTTCAAAAAGGATTTAAAAAATAAAAAATGTTGTTCCAGAACTAAAATTTTATGGTTTTCAAAAAACTAATTTGTGAGAATTGATGTTATGAACACTGAGTGATTAGAATCCTTAAATTCAATAATCTCGAAAATCAGTCTGAAAATTAAAACTAACATTCAAGATATATGATTCCTAAAGATGCGTAAAGAAAGCAGAACAAAAAGCCAAGCGTAGTTGTAATTAAACATGCTCGTCGAATTGAAGATGACTCACTTTCATATTCTAAAATTTTGTAGCACTGAAAATGTGTGACTAAATTTCATTTTATGACTAACCGTCAAATATTCATTCATCCCATACTGTTCAACTACTTCCATTTAAATACATGCAATTGGAGAAACCTCAAAAATACTATTATCAATAAATGATATGAACAATGATTATATTCCACTGATCTTTGTTTTCGGCTGGTACACGTGTTTTTTGAATTCCTGGTAGAATCGGTTTTAGTAAGGAATTTTATGTCTATAATTAATTAGAAAAATGCAGACCATTTTTTTTATTTCACTGATACTTTGAAAAAAAAGTGGATTCTCAACTAAATCTTCCCCTGCCTCTCATCACTTCTTACAGTGGTTCATGGTAAGTGGTTGTTAGGGTGAAAGTGAATTATAGAGACAAACTGGACAAATTAATATGGATCCGATGATTGTTTCTAACACAACCACTGCCAATAAAAGTACAGTCAGTTCTTGAACAAAAAATTAAGTTTAACAATTCAAATAACTAACAAATTCTTTTGTTAGATTAATCTAATTCAGCTTCAGAAATTTTATTTATTTCAAATTAGTGCCCCAATTTACAAAAAGCGACTATGCAATTCAGCATTTTTTACGTCAAGAGCATAATAATTTACCGTATATGTAAACGAATTGGCAATCATCAATGCTTTGCTGCTTTTGCTCCTAAAATTATATATTTATTTTAATGACCCCATTTATTTCAGAAAATTATGAATAAATGAGGACAAATTTATGACTTTAGCGGACTCGACTGTTAATATTAGCTTTTTAGCTGTAAAATTTTTTTTGCTGTATCTACAAACAGTAAGAAAATGGCTTAGAACCATTTAAAAATTATTAAAAGTTGTTATATTTGAGATCTATAACCCTGTAATTGCAGTTCTGATTTGTAACAGAAACATCACACTAATCTACTACGATGATGGTTTATAATAATGATAATTTTCAGGCTGTTTATTTTCACTCATCTCGCACTCAGTTGTCCTGGTCTCCTGACCTTCATTCACGATACTTGAAACGCTTTCGAGCGTCTTTTTCATCACTATCGTTTGGATAAATGCCTTGACGTGATCAGATATCTCCTTCGCATCACTGTCCCATCAGTAAGTCATTCAATACGGAATTATTTTCGTTCTGCATTTTCCAGTTTATTAGCGAATACCCGAGAAAAGGCGCAAGTATGTATCATACTTTCTCGGTCTTGACTGCTACCAACTTGTCCTGAACAATGATGCCAACTTCTGTAAGGAATACTTCGTGAAAACCAGGACATTCGGTCGATCCGCCCTTATTCTAATCGTTGTTCTTACTAGCGACAATCTCCATAACAGATTGGCTTCGCATGCGAAGAAATGTCTACAGACCATACTTCCTACTGAGTCCCAGGTTGATGCATCGCAGTTCTTCATTACGACTTTTAGTAAAATCATGTTACTCTCACATGCCCTGTCAACATGCTTAAAGCTTCATGACAGTTACGCATGAGAGAAAATATGAGATTCTGAGATTCATTCCCCTCATACACTCCTTGGCCTCCTAAGTCTTTGCCTTCGAGTTTTACAGCAGCCAAACTCCGTTCTATAAGGGTTTTGTGAGAGTTAAACTAGCTTACCTTCTTTTCCATGTTTACCTTCCACCTCGGTGGCTTCTTGTCTCATCTTGTCATGTCTTTATAAGCTAGCAGGAGCTACCTTCACTCGTCGCTTGGTTCATTGCTCCAAGTCTAAGAGATCAACGTTCTCCGAGTATTTTCTGCGTCATTTTTGTTTGGTTTATCCCACATCCCTGGGCCTCTTGCATTAGCACCAATTTCTACCTTGCGTCTCAAAAAACCTTGGACTCCTATAGCGTACTTGCTTTGAAATAGGTGTCAAATAATTTAAGTCTCCTGGCTGACTGCTCTAAGAGCCGTTTCTTCGATCATGAGCAACCAGCAGTACTTATAATCACAGAACTCGCTTGTTTCTTCTAGTTTTTGAAAGTTTATTTGTTGTACAGAGAACAACACAAAGGGCATCTTCCTTCCCGCATCCTCCCAAAACGGTCATGAACCGCCTTCAGAACTTCGCCTGGCCAGCTGATCTGTGAGACGTTCATTCCGTGGATGAGTGTTCCATGCCTGATCATTCTGCTAGGACATGATTTTGGTACACTGGTAAAGTGCTCTATCGCACCCTTTAAGGAGCTTTTTTCTACAACCTCGTCTGTTGTCTCATTTATTACTATTATAATCTCAAATTTTATTATTTTTTACGTCAGCCCTCCATTTTTTGTTTTGTGATACAGTTCAATCGCTTGACTTCTTTATCATTATATTATAATAATAGTGCTAGTAGTCTATTACTATCAATTACTATTACAACCATAATAATAATTATTACTGCAAAAAATTTGGGCACTATTCCTGATTTTTTTAGTTATTATTTCAGGATTCTTTTTATTATTCGAATTTTCGATGAACAATTTTGAATAAGATAAATGAATTTGCAAAGACACAAATTATTAAATCCTATGCGTCTTGTCAAAATTTAGCCCTTTTCAAATTCACAATATCTCATTTCTAAATGACATGGAATATGGGTGCTGCTAATGTAATTATCGTTATTCATATTTATTGATATTATTGGAGCAGCTAGTATCAATAATATTGTCAACTGATATATGAGAATTTATTAGATCATTGTTATCATCAATATTTGTCTTAATGTTTCACCATTTTAAATGCCTATTTTATCACTATTGATTTATTTTCACCTGATCATGGTCAGCTTCTTTTCTGTTCAAAATGGTTTCTTGCGCGCAGTTCATTTTATTCATTTCTTTATCATTACCAGCAGCTACTGAACCAACGGCCGGTGTTTTTAGGTACCTTTGAAATAGGTTAATTGATAACTGAGGAATACCAGCACACATAAATGATCTTCGGTCAAGCTTTTCCGGTCCCAACGTTTCATATTGATCAGCCATAATAACTTGTTCTAGCAGGCAAGACTGCTCTTATTTCGAAACTATTGCTGTTGCCTCACCGACTTAACTTGAACTTGTTGACTGATAAAAAACGTTAGAGTTAGAAACAATTTCAGAGATCACGAGAGCTTACAAGGTTTTTTGTCTATCAGTAAGTGACTAACTCGAATTCACCACATGTTCCTGAATGACTTTTCAAAAATACATTTCATATTTTGTTCTTCTACAAGAGCCCTTCAGGAATTTAATGAAGACTGCACACCTAGCGTATCACACGAGATCAGCACAATGTTTCTTCGCTTTTAATGTGACAAGTAACCCCATTCAAAACCAAAGTCGATTTTTGTTACAATACACATTTTTCCTATTTGCGTCAATTTTCCCATTCCGCTGATAAGCTAGTATAATATGCAAGATATGATTCACTATCTTACTTTCTTATGACGACCTCTCTCATCGTTTCTCAATTCCTCACACGCTACTTTGTATTCACATACTGTGTTATCTACCGACTTAACTTTCTAATGAGAAATGATAGGCATATTGAAATGAAAGGCAAAACTGATTAATCGACGAGTGAAATAAGGGGAAATTTCAAAATACGTAGCAAATCCGAAGTACTGCGTGATGAAACGAACCGCTGGCAACCTTTCAGAACCAACAAATTAAGTGTTTTTCAAAACACTTCCATGCCATGCTAAGATGAACATATGAAGCATGCAAATAAGAAGTCACAGGACATACGCATGTGCTACTTTCATGTAGTCTTTTTAAGACTCAAGAAAAATGCGCTTAAATGAATCAAAAGTATTGTAATGCAACTTTGTTAAAAATTAATGAAATAATGATTTACTACGTCAACAATATTAACTTCAGTACTTACTAGTATTCAACAAAACCTAACTATCTACTTCTATATTTACTTTTTCTTGCAAGCCCAAAATATATATATTTGTTAGTGATTCGGAGATTTAAAAATTGCATTCGGTTCTATTGTTGAAAATTGCTATAAGTGGTAGATATTACACGCATGCCTGAATGAACAGTGTGCGAGCATGCCAACTTCAGCAGTTGTACCTCCAGAGTTTGACGAGAAGTTAAATCATCTCGTTAGTTATTATTCGTGCACATTACTTATATCTGTTCCGAAATAATGATAACTTAGAGAAGATCGTTCATCTTAACATTGTTTGTGTCTGGTATTAACGGGCTGCGCTTATTCGCACTTTTTTTGTCACTCGTTTTGAAAGGAAAATCTTTCAGCCGTTTATTGTTATTATCTTCAATATTATTAATTCCGTACAATTATTTTCGTAATTTGCGATGTTTTCTCAAGATCTAACAGCAGAAGCATATAAATATTTGGGAGACAATTACAAAACCGTCCTTACTTCACATTTACAGTTTCTGTCATTATCTTTAAATTTTGTTATTTCGCAGTCTGTTTCAGTTTTTTGCCCAAACAGCTATAACAAGAGAAGTGGATGCTGAAGCAAAGGATTATGAATCATGCAATAACTTTTTGGATATTTATGAAACTTTTGTCGAAAATCGACAAAATTTAATTAATGAATTGCGAAATATTGCAGATAAGGTATAGTTTTTCTGACCGCAAAATCATCAGTCGAGTAAATAATATTATGAAAAATACGAGATTAAAGGGGTTACGTTTCATTTTTACTGGACCGACTTTCAGATATAAGACTTAAATATTTTTGTGATCTCAATATAAGCCATGAAGTAAATTATTTTTTGAAGTGTTGTTGTGTGCAATTATCATACTGATGTAAAAAAGCAGCATATTGCAAGATTTAAATTTTCAGTGACTGTTGTGATATTATTCATTGTTGAATCATTTTGTGTTCAAATCTTCAGTGAGAATTCTAAATTTTCAGTCCGTGAATGTAAAGAAAAAATGCAGTATCTCAACAATTACTGGGAGTTCCCTTGGTATTGCTGGTGGTGCTACAGCCATAGTAGGGACAGTTGTATCTCCACCTTTACTTGCTGGAGGTATATATCAGTTCGTAACAAATTTCGATTGTTTTTGGTGATGTCATTATGTTAGCGTCACTAATTAGGTTCCGTGCCAGACTGTGTTGCTTCATGATTTCTGTATAATAAAATGTATGGATTGAATAAATAATCTTCTAGAAAGTTTTTCGATGTTGATTATAATATCAAATTGGTGGTTAATATTTGAAATGTAATGAATTTCACTAAGGTGTCTAGGATTGCTTGTCGCTGGACTTGCAACGGCATCAAATTTGGGAGTACAACTAACTCAGTACTTAATGTTTCGTGAAATGATCACAAAAGTTGTTTCTTTATCAAAATATGATATCGAACTGATGCAAGATATTGAAAGCATGTATCAAGAAACTCTGAATGTTAGTCTAGTAAGACTCTTCGTTGAATATTTTTTTAAAAAGCTTACGAAATGTAGTGTTTACCTACAACTGTTTCGCATACGTGTAAGTATCATGGTTTTTAATGATGCCATAAAAGTGATCTCTAGTATAACATTATGTAAGTGAAGGTATTTTGCAAATGTTCATTTTGTGGTTTGCTTCAATTTTGACTCCTCTTTCAGTTCAAAACATATGATGCTGTTGGTGAAGCACTTAGAACAGTGGATTCAAAAAATTTACCATCTCTAGGGCTTCAACTTGGAGCTGGTGGTGCGAAAAGTGCAACTGCATTGGGTTTACGTAGTGTGGGAATCGAAATGGTATTCAAATATTTTTTTGAAAAGATCCTTTTTTCGATTTAGTTTTTAAAATCATTCGGATGGAAAGTTATGGTGGTCCCATGCTTCCCAGTATTACCTTCAATTAGTTCATGAACGTATTCATCAGGTACAAAAGTTGGAACTAACGATTACCCAGAATGGCTTAATGCTAAATTTTACTGCCGTTAATAATTCAGTGGAATAAACTGAAGCATTCTATAAATATGTTTCATGTTCTTTCCAGGTTCAAGTTGGAAGTAAATTAATGCGAGGTGTTGCTCGAGGAGTTCTTGGATTAAGTGTTGTTATCGATGGCATGACTATTCTGCTTTCAGTTCGTGATATAGTCGCAGGCTGTTCGACAAATTTTCATGATGCTGTAAATAGCGTTGCTGATTTCAAGCAAGAAGAACTTAAACGAATTATGGATGAAATCGATCTGAGCACTTTATTTTTAGAAAAATGAGGTTTAAGAATGAAATGTAAGAAATAGAACATCAAAAATTGTTTATACAAACTCTGAACACTTTTTGTTCACAATCAAAAATTCATTGAAAGGGTCATGTTCGTCTTGTATTATTTGCACATTGTTCTAATAAATCCGTGCTAGTTTTTGTGTAGTCTCTTTGAACTTTCAGCTGTTCATACGGCTTACTGCGTGCCGGAACGCAGTCATAAATTTAGTAATTCTCTTAAAGAACAAGGGAGTTCAGTTCTTTGTTTTAATTATATGCAGTCAATGTTAACATTACACATTTACTTGTTGGGGTCTCGCTATTGCTAGCATTTAAAGTGGAGATGAACCTTTCGACTACTCGCCAAGCGTGACTAAGATATCTTTTACAACAGTCTGGTAGTCGGGTTGTGAGGTTTTCATGATTTTCATTTAAGTACAGTTTCTGGGTTTAGTGTTGGTAATCATATGTGGTTGTGGGTGAGGGGTGTGTGGGGAAAGTAAGAATTCTGGCAGACTGAGTCTTGGCGCTGTTTTGTACTTTGTATGCATGTATTTTTCTGCATTTCTCATTGTTTGCTGTTCATTACCCTATTTATTATTGTTTGCTAAAGTTGTATCTGTGTTTATGTGTAATAACGGTTACCTGCTACTGATCTATTGATATGTCTACTCATATTTTATTACTATTTTTTAATCCTTTCTTGATGCAAAAGCCTCATTTTAGCATGTTCAAAAGGAAAAGTGATCAGTCGCTCACTCATGCTGGTGATGATAATAAACGCACTTCTTATTCCACGAAAAAAAAAGGTAATTTTGTTATGTTCTCTAAACTTTCTCCAATTTTATTTTTTAGTGAAATGTGTATTTTAAATGTGGTTGTGTCTGCATGGGAAGTGCAATTGTGGTTGATGGTATTAACCTTTGCTTTCAGGTTCACTTATCAACAATAAAATTTAACAATTAATTTGCAGTACTTCCTTATGAAGATGCATACCTCCGATCTGTTCCGCGCGCGACCCTTTATGAAAAGTCGTTCATGCATCGTGAAACGATAACTTACGTTATCGCTACTCCGTATAGATAATTTTTTCATTTTTTTAACTTCATCTTTAAGTAATATTTGTTCTTGTGCCCAAACTTTGTAAGTGGAGTTACATCCATTAAATATGAATAGACAGTCATAATTCTTATTTTGTGTTGGGAATTTTATTCATTGAACATAAATGGCTACCATCTAAAAACCAAAACGGAGAGTTAGTATTATGTATATCAAGTGCAAGCATAATGCTATCAGTTCTGGATCACTGCAAAAGTATCCATATTTTTTGCAAGTTAATCGCAGATTAAGTTTTCGTCATCATAAAGCATTGATTTCAGAACAAATTTCATCATAACAGCTAGTACAGATGGGCATCTAAAATTTTGGAAAAAGAAACATGGTGAAGGGATTGAATTTGTAAAGCATTTCCGCTGCCATTTGCGTGAGTGTTAGATTTGTCACTTATAACCTGTCGTAGTTGAGAAAAAACACTAAATTTCATTTTCCGAATTTTTTTTGACGTGCAGTTTTTTCGATTATTCATTCTTTGTGGATTGGTAAATAAAAGCTTCAAATAGTTTGCCCTATTTTCTTGAAATAAATTATTTTTCAAAACAACCAAGTCATTTGTCATCATATACTTTTTTAACTATTACATATATAATTTGTTTTTGATTTGTTTGATTTACAAATCAAAGACACTGTTACCTGATAAAGCATTGATCCTTTAATTTCTCTACTTCTGAAGGATTTTGTTTTATTTTTTTAATAACAAGACATAAACAATATTGTAGATGCGTTTTCTCATTTGACGGTAAATCACAATGGAACACTGATGGCAACAGTTTGTATGTTTGACAGGTCATTGAAAATATTTGATGTGCCCAATTTTGATATGATTAATATGTTGAATACTAATTTTTCACCGACAACTGCTGCTTGGATACATCAAGGTAAGAAACTCATTTGGCTACTAATTATTCTTAATATATTCATATTTTTTCTTAAGTACTTTTGTTCCTATATTTTTCTCCAAAATTGTCATTTCTATGTGAATATGAAAGCTCTGATCAATATTTTAAAACTTTATTTTTTCTGACTATAACCTTGCATTATTAGTATTCTAGAATATTTATTGACTTTGTTGCTTCATGATGATATCTTTAGGAAATGATGTGATTCAAGCGCTAGCTGTGTCAGATTTAGATTCAGGCAAAATATATATTTATGATGGCAAAGGTGACAGTAAGCCGCTACGCATTTTGGACAAGATTCATTCTCATCCTGTTAAACTCATTGAAGTAAATCTCATTTACAGTTTTCATTACTATCAGCTTATTTTATTACTAAGTGTTTCGAAGTGTTTTATTGTTTTTAATTTGTTTAATGTTACGGCGTCTCATACATTTTATTGCAAAAATTCTTTCAGTACAATTCCCATTTTGATTGTGCTATTTCTGTCGATGTTACGGGAATGCTGGAATTTTGGTCTGGACCAAAATGCAATTATAGCTTTCCAGAGAACATCAAGTGGTTATATAAAACGGACACAGATCTTTATGAATTTATTAAAGTAAATAACAGTATTTTATAAACCTGATGTTGATTAATTTTCGTTGTAATTTTGTATTAGAGGAAGCCACGTATCACTTTCATTATTCAGTTTGAAGCATTTAATTGTTGTAAATTAAGATTTTTTGGCTGCAAAATTACTCTGTTTTTGTATCAGCTTAGTAGGTACTCTTTGGTGTCATTTTTTGCAAAATCATGTAGTTACTTGGTATTTCTCAGTTTTCACTTGTAATCCTTTTGTAGAAAAGCTTATATAAAAAGAGAAATGTTCAGATCAAAGCACCGCCGCATTGTTTGGTAATATCACCGAACGGAAAAATATTTGCAACGGTTGCAACTGATCGACGTATTAGAATATTCGATTTTTCTACTGGAAGGATAATTAGTATCATCGATGGGACACTGCAGTCGTATTTGAATCAAGCAGCACTAAATAAGTAGGCTCTAACAAATAATTGTGCAGTGAAACGTAAATGTCTTATTAGGAATTTAGATTAAATCTAGTGTTGAATCAGTAAATTTGCTTATAAAACTTAGAGTTGTTATTTGTGTAGTTTTGATGGGAATATTTTCGAGTACGTATATTTTATAGCTTTGGTATGGTTACGAGATGTATTTTATGTATGCTGTGAGTGTTATATTTTATCTAAAGCATTTTTTTCCGATTCATTCTACCATGCTTCTCTCATTTACAGCAATTATGGTTTACAAAATATGGAGTGGAGTCGACGAGTCGCGCTCGAAAAGGATTTGGACCAGGATGACAGTACTTTCCAGCATTTATCATTATGTTTTGATGAAAGTAGCAATTTCATAATTTATCCTACTCCTGTAGGTATTAGAGTAAGTTTTTTATTTTTATTTTCTGTGATTAACGCATTATTTTTTTGAGTTGTTTGATTGCAAATGGAACTTATATATTTAGAACTTCCAAATACTATAGTTATGAACTTCTCCGTACTTTTTCTGCAGGTTTACAACTTACATACTGATCAGGTAGTACGAGAAATCGGAAAAAATGAAAATATGCGATTTTTGAGTGTATCTCTTTGCCGAGCTATCCCAGATTCTAGGGAGCAGTTTCAGGTCTGTCGGTTTGTGTGTTTTTTGAGTCCTATTTTAATTATCTTTTGCCATTATATCTGTTTGGACCCCATGAAAACGATTCATTTCTTCATTTCTATGTTATAGTTTTGTGATACTTAATGCATAAGTGTTTTGAAAATTAACTTTCATTTAATATAAGGGAGCAGCAGCAACGATTGATGCAGTGGCTGCAACAAATCCAAATTTCAAGAAAACAGAGCCTGATCCTATGTTGGTATGATATTTGCACCTAATATTCACATGTATTCTTCATTTAAAATTAGTTCTAAATGAGAATTTTTGTGTTTAGGTCGCGTGTGCATATCGGAAAAACAGATTCTATTTGTTTACTAATTCAGAGCCATTTTCAACTGATGAGAATGAAGATTTCTCTAATATGGATATGGGGCGGGATGTTTATAATGAAAAGCCTAAAAAAGAGGATGTTATAACCGCTGTAGAGGTATTATCAACTACTATTCCCTTGTTAAGATTAATTTTCATGAGCTTAATTTAAATTATTACCTTTTTCGAGTCTTGCAATTCACAAGTTTCAGAATGATACAGCTGATAGTAAGATCAATGAATCAGCAGTATTACATACTTCATTTGGTGATATACATATCAAATTGTTTTCTAATGAATGTCCGAAAGCAGTTGAAAATTTTTGTACTCATGTGCGAAGAGGATACTACAATGGTCTCACGTTTCATCGTGTAATTCGTAGTTTCATGATCCAGGAAAGCCTTTTTATTAATCTTGCTATTCATAAAATTTATTATCTTTACGTGTTGCGTTCTTTTGCAGTACTATTTTTTTTATTTTTAAGCTAATTATTCTTTTGTAGTGAAGAAATTTCAGACAGGTGACCCTACAGGTAAAGGGACAGGCGGACAGTCAATTTGGGGGGAAGATTTTGAGGATGAGTTCCACCCTAAATTAAGACACGATAAACCTTTTATGGTTTCAATGGCAAATGCAGGCCCAAATACGAATGGTTCTCAATTTTTTATCACAGTTATTCCTGCTGATTGGTTAGATGGCAAAAACACCCTTTTTGGACAGGTTTGTGTTGTGTATATTATGCCCTTTTTGGACCGTGTGCTCTTAAGATTTTGAAAAAACCTCTGGAAAAAAAACTTTACGTTCCTTTCTCATGTTGATGTTCATTTCAGATTTTTTTAGTAACCACTTTCCATATTGTCTACACTTGTTTTTGCTTTGAGTATCAGTTCATGGAGTTGTGGTCTACTACTAGTTTCAAAAATTTATCTGCAGGAATTTCAGTTTTTTCATTGATTAAAAATTTTGCTTCCTTCACCTATTATCAAAAACCTACTCATTCAACTTCAAAGTCTGATTGACTCCTATCATCCTTTTTTTCAGGTAACAGAAGGTTTTAATGTGGTCCAAAAAATAAATCAAGTGCCGACATTTGAAAAAAGTGGCCGACCAAAACAGGAAATAAGTATTGTTTCTATTACACTGAAATGAACGTGTAATACAGTTTTTATTGTTTCCAATGCATTATAAAGGATTCCATGTTTCTTGTTAAATCAGTATTTAGTGATTTGAATAGAAACTGCTTGCTTCTGTACTATTTTTCAGCAAAATAAACTTATTCTTGACACATGATTTCCGTTTTCTTTTTTTTTTTTTTAAATGAAAAAAACAAGAATACTGCATATCACCTCAATAGCATCGTAACTCGTGTTTGCATCTATAAAAAGGTAGCACTGATATTGTTGTTGAAGAAATTGCGTTTCAATTTTTCATTGAATATGTCACGCCATCGGCATTGTTTTTGCCTCCTTTTTAGTTTCAGTTATCTAAATATTCGCTTTGTTACCATTTATGATTATTCAATTGTTAAGTGGTATTGAGGATAGGGAGGACCGAATTTGACGTATATTTTAATACCAAACTGTTTTATGTAGTCTTCAACTAGCTCGTATCGTATTTTCATATGGAACATAAAGTCTTTAGTATACCTTCGTAATTATATCAAGAGCGTATTAGATCATTAAGACTTTGTGGCGTTTGCATTTGTTGATGTTGGATTAGTTGTTGTTGGTTTGGTTTTCCCTTCTGTATGATCATCATTCTGGAAGAGGTTTAGGAGGGTAGTAGACATCAATTGTTTTCGTTTTTTATAGTGGTTATTATTATCGCGTTAACATAGGAATCATTGATAGCTCTGCTGTGAGAGTTATTATTTACGGGTTGATGAAAGGAATTTGCGTTAATAATTGCATTCTGTGTTGCTAGCTGTCTTCGCCTTACATCATTTCTACATTAAATATGAATTTTAATTTACTGTTAGCAAATAATAACAGAAGCATAGGAATCCACTGAGAATGAATGACAGTGATACAATTATGAGTATTCCAAAGGTTCTTGGATCTGGTAATACCATGGTGATCACATCCTGTAGAATTATGTATTCTTCAGTATTATTTTCACATGTGCATGGATCAAGATCGTATAATAATATAACGAAGTCGTTTAAAATCGCAGTGACAGGCATAATGAGCACCATTTGCTTTTAGTGACTTTTTCATAATCTTAATGTGAAGAGGAAATTGGTAGCATTCTATGCTGATTCTGAAGCTTTATCGAACTTGCTAAAGAACATTTCGTGAAAAAACGAAGTCACTTTCAACACACTGAAGAATTGTGCCACAGAATCGTGAACTCCGAAGACGGTGTTCCGTTTCCTTTCCGGGATTGTTTCTTGCATAATATGCGAGATTGACAAATCAGCCATGTACAAACCTAATGTTTTCATTCAAGTTATCCTCTAATTCAAGTAACAACATCGCGACAGATGTAAACGTCAATAAGGCTCGTAAAATTAGTTCTAACTTTTTTCCTAGCTTAAAATGGTTAGGTAGTATGTATCATGACATCTAAGTAGGGAATTTGTAAACGGAATTCAATGCTTTTGGAAACTACCCAATCTTGCCGCAGCTATTCCTAGCATCAGTGTAAAAACACTAATAATAGAATGCCCATCGGAAGTCCACGTTGACCAGTCGATGTCGGTCGCACCTGTTTCACTTGTGTTTCTTACAGAGGAAAATGAGAAGCTGTCACCCAATTTTTTCCACCAAATCTTCATTGTTGAAATGAATAATCAGTTTAAGAGTTTAGTTTTAATGACAGACACATTGAGCATCAGTTTTGTATTGAATAGTTTATGCGCTTTTCTGTGGTTGTAAAAATACCAGTCTTAAGAAATCAAATTTTGAATTTAAATACTGATGCCTAGTATGCATTACTGAATCACGAGGATTGCTTCACCACTAGATGAAGAAACATACAGCGATGGTGGTTTCCTTAAAATATGTAAGTGGATCGAACGGCGAACCTGGCAGCCATATTGATACAACACAAATAAGAAGAGATAGTTGTTGCGCCTAAACAATTTGCAATTTCTTCAACATATAGTACTCATACGTGAGACGTACCATATTAGAGTGAAACTTACAATTAAGCCAATTAATCCAGATCTTCTAACTGATGAATACATCTCAATGACACTATATAGATTAGCACCAACTATGCCAAAAGCAGCACCAATACTTCGTAAAACACCCAACCATAATGCAGATAATCCTTGCGACTTTGCATAACCGATTGCTATCTGAAAAAAGAAAGTGAAAACTTCGGCAATAAGTTAAAAAGCCTTAATTTTGGAAGTCACTGCTGCAACTATAATTGATACATATCCTGCATTTACAATTTATGTGTCATGGTTCTTTTTTCAAAGTTATGAACGCTAAAACTCCGAGTTTTCCTTTTATACCAATGTGTCTATTACAATTATGAATGCAGGTTCATGTAATCAAATTTGTGTGTTGTGCAACAACAACATTGCTTAACAGAGTAACAAGTTAAAATTTATCATAGTTTTTGAAAAAAGATGGAAAAGTACCCCATCGAAGCCAAGGACTGTCATGTACAGCAGAGTTAAGCCAAATGCAGCAAAAAAAACGTTCTGTTCATAATAAGTATAAAACAGTGAAAGTAATTTACCACAATGCTGTACGAAACAGAGCCTATTTTCGCAGCATTTGATTTTATTTTGCATTTCATCCACTGCAAAATTTTTTGAAAATTTTAAACCAAAAAACTAAGTCTTTTAATACTATTTAATCTTTGGATACAGGAATGACCGCACTAATTAATTAAGCCAATTTTGCAGAGCAACTGCAACGCGCCTGACTGCACATCAGATGGTTTGTATCAGAATCAAAGAACTTTGAACTATGTGTACATACAATCCCAATTTTTTTACAACCATGGAAGATTACAATCTTTCGAGATGACTGATCAGTAAAATGTAAGTTTTATAGAATGATCAGTGAATAAAATCTGAATGAGTGGTGAGTGAGTGGAAATCTATTATCATGGACAGACTCTATGCTTCAGCGGCATATTTTACCAAATTAGTTGCTCGCTTAAATTTCCAAAACATTACTGTTATAATACCAATTCGATTTCAATTAATTCAATCCTCTAATTATCTTTTTGCAAATTTTGAACCTTATTTTAAGTACATGTTCAAGCATCAAACAAAGACAGTATGCATTTTCTTTTCCTATTTAAGAAAGAGATTAAAACTACCTTGTGAGAGTGTTTCCTCTCTACTGGCAAGTTCAGGTATACAATGATAAACTTTGATTGTTATAAAGGCTTCGATTAACATTGATAACAGATTCCAGATTACAAATACCAAACACGCAAAACGGTAATTAATCGAATTAATTATATAACCAGCTGCAAACGGCGATATCACAGATGATGACAAATCAATGGTTTTCATCCAAGCATTTGCAGCTAAATATCGATATTAGCATTAAATGAAGAAGAAATGAACTTCCAAACATATAATTATGGCAAAAAATAATGATATTTTATATCTTCATTGTCCAAATCGATTTTCATTCAAATAATATCATGATGTGGATAATTAAACTGTTACTAATGAGATGTGTATCATGCACTACTCTTCATATGCATTTTTTTACGGGTTAGAACTACACATTTATTTTGATGACGTGTTTATATATATAAACACATATATAACTTACATAACTAAAGGTATATCTTTCTACCACAAGTTTATTTTCATTATAGCAACTTTTCTTGTTTTTTAAACTCAAATTAAGTGTTTAAACATCAACATAGGCTATTTTATCTCAGTATAACAGGGTGAACAAATAACAACAACAAGAACCTGATAAAGGTGATTGTTCTTTACCAGTCATAACAATGATCCAGTCTTTGGTAAAAGCGATCTTTTCCATTTCACTTGCCAAGCAGCTAATCGAACAGGTGATTATTGATAGAACAATGCATGTAACATAGGTAACATGCCAAAATGTGTAGTTTGAATCAGCACCCTAAATTTTACCTTATCCGTCATTGTTATTTATTTCACTGTCATCAAGTTAAATAAAGCAAGCTTACAGTGTTAACTAGATAGATTTATTTCATTTCTAGTGATTTTTCCTTCATCTCAAAATAACATTTGTTTCTTTTAGACACAAAGTGCGTCACGATGAAAAAATAATTCATTTCTTTCATTTAAATGAACTATTTTTCTTTTCTCAGAATAATTATGATAGTATGATAATAGATGTTAACTTCCTTGAGAATTACTGCGACCAGTATTAACTTCATGAACTAGTAGGATCTAGAAACAACATACATCGTTAATAGTGTCCATACGGTTCATTGTTATACAAGCTGCAAGTAATGCAGCCGATAAAGCCACGTTGGTATTATTTATGACTAATACTGTTAGCATACCTGAAAATTTCTCAGTAATTATTATTCATAAGACGCTAGTTTTGGTGAAATGTAAATCAGTAACGCTAGTTTTTCATTACCTCTTATTCTGGTATGTTGATCCATCCAATTGCCAATCACTGAGCTTAATGCCATGATAATTATTCCTTCTATCAGCTGATTAAGGCATACTAATCGAACTCCACCAATATATTCTAATAATAATACCAAAGAAAATGTCCAAAGTCGATCTCCCTAAGGACTTAGCTTCTATCTCTTATAGAACTTTTTTTTAAACTTTTGGAACATTTTGGTTTTTTAAAATTCTTCTAAACCTTCTTTAAATTTGCAAACTATATTTTAGCTACTGGTATAGAATTCAAAAAAGTTCGACGCTAATATCTGATAAATAGTATTAGGAAACCCTGTGTTCTACTACTTTTATTACTTTAAACAAACAAATATTTATGATCACAATTTCGACAATTGCGCCATGATTACTATTGAAAAACTAACAATGCATGAGATTCCATACGCTAAATATAACCCACTTAAATTTGCTGATGGTAGCCTTGCCTTCCTGCAACATTATGAAATTCAGTAATGTTCACCAAATACAAGTCTTCAAGCGGTAGAGAAACAAATACTTTTGAAAACGGTTTTAACCACGAAGTTAAAAACCCTCATGACATTTGCAGTTGAAGCTTACAATTATCCCTCACCTTCAATCACTAAAATACCTTTTACATTTCATCAAAGATAATACTTCGATGGTTTTAAGGTTTTAGTTACATTATAGAGTCTGTTGCTAAGCTTTAGCAGTCGAGCTTCCATACCCAATATTCGAGAATTATGTACTAAGCAGCCCTCTAACCTTACCTCATACTAAACCAATTTACCCGACATTTTACTTTTAATTTGTGTAAGAACGTTCTGGACAATTCACCACATCACTCGAACAATCAAACTTTGATGAATAAATCCGCGTTACTAAATTTTATAAAAATAAACTATGCGGAATCCAGACTAATACTGCAAACTTCTCACTTGCTGAGCAGCGAATCATTGATTGACTTGCCTAAATAGAACAGTATGCAGGCGAACTCCTCAGTCTTTAGTTCCAGCTTCCGAACATGCCATGCTAGCTACTAGTACTTCAGAATTTCCGTTCCTTCACGCTTCAGTGATCTATACACAAATTTCTGAAAGCCTACCTCAATCAATGTTTAGATTTCATGGACCCACAACAATAGACAACCTCACTGTTAGTTGATAGACAAGAGAAATGCACAGTAGTTATTGAGAATATTGGTTTTATGACTCATTTAGTAGTAAAATTTTGATTTTATGATCCACCTAAAAGTAAAATCCGATTAATAAACCTAAGAACAGCATGATTCCTAGCTCAAACATCATGACAGCCAAATGTACCTTCATCTTTATCGATAACTGACATTTCCTCATTTTTCAACCAGTAAGTTCTACCATATAACTTTCCCAATATACACCCACAATAGTTAGACACAAATATATGAAATAATTTTGATTTTATACTATTGGACTCAACGTTTGAATTCTTGTCACAATATAAAACTCATATAATACTAAAAACAATAACCGACAAAATAAAAAAAACATAACATTAACTTTAAGCATTGCATGCTTTGTACTATCCACGCCATAAACTTTCACTACTACAAAACGAAGAAACTGAATAAATTTGCAGGTAAGATAAATTTATATGAAATCCTTTCTACTTCAATTTTCCCCGCCCAAGCATAACATTAAGATTATCAACGAGAATTTTCGAAATGAATCAAGTGCTTCTAATTGAATGAGTGTAGAACAAGTCAAATTAACTCATGTCCAATTCGAATTAATAGGCTTTTCGTTTCAATACTTCTGATCGCCACAGAATCGGATGCGTCTCCTCGGTCTAAAAACGATAATATGCGGAAATTTTTTTCCTCAAACAATTTTAGAATATACTAATATTTATTTGATACACCCTTCTATAAGTTACTTCGAAAATGATAATGCTTGACATATAAGGTTTTTCAACATAAAATCTAAGACAATGCTAAACGAACTTATGCATGATATCAGAGGCAAGCAAACTCGTATTTTTTCAAAAAACATTAAACAATAATATACGCATGCGTGTAACAAGTGAAAAACACACCGCATTTTCATCCTCTTTATACATTTTGATCGTTTTATCTGCTTCTGCAGTAATTAATCGAGATCCAGATTGATCAAATGCGACTGCAAATATCCCAGCTTCCGAATCAATAGAACCTGGCTGGGCTTTCGTCTGATGCCGTTGAAAGCAAAAACTACTTTTCCAATCCCATAAACTTAACGACCCATTATCACCTAATAATGAGACAATTAAAATATGAGTATAAACAATTATGTTATATTAGAATGCACTTATGACTGATTTTCAGAATCTGGAAACTTTTGGAAACAAGCAAAACTGTTTTAACTTACCACCAGAAACAAGAACACCATCTTCATTACATGCTAACGAATTGATAATAGTATTGTGTCCTGTTAAATTTTGAATAAATATTCCCTCCGGACATTTCCACTGCTTGATATTATCTGCACTACCGGAAGCAAACATGTAAAGTGAAGGATGAAGCGTCAAAGCTCGAACACTTTTCTGAAATTTTCCTAGCCTATGAATTTTTCGCAATAACAAAAAAAACATATACATTTTCATTCTAAGCAAACAACTGTAACAGTAATATCAACAGTAACAATCAACTCTAGCTAAAATGTTACGAAGAAGTCTAAGTTTCACATTCATCGGTAAACGTTAATCAAAATCATGCTAATGCCGGCCATTAATAACAAAACTTCGAAAAAAATGTGTCTAATAAAAGTTGCACTTTAAAAGTAAAAATGAGATATAAGACATCACCAACGCCACAAAAATATATCATATTTGAGATATGTTTTCTCAGAACCAAGTAATTCCTACTGATTTTAGCTGTAAAACAGGGATTTGGACCGACTGGAATTGCAAACAGCATACCTTATGATGTGTCAAAGTACAAATACTTCGTCCAGCAACAAGATCCCAGAGCCGAATAGTTGAATCATGACTACCAGTGATGACCTGGGGATTGACTTCCTGTGAAATAACAGCTGCTATCGTATTTGTATGTCCATTTAAACAATGGATCTGCGCTTTAGTTCGCATATCCCATACCTTAAATCCATAACAACTATATGTAATAGATGTCAAAGAAAATTCCCAATGAGAGGATTCTGAGATTTTAAAATCTGAATTAAAAATATACTCGAGCAGTAGCATCGCGAGCACAACTGATCAAGACGTCAATTGTTGGATGAACTGTAAGATCTTGAACAGCACTTAAATGCCCATGATAGTGTCGGATCACTTTGTTGTATTCAAGATCCCAGCATTTAATCTACAAAAAAAAAAGGAATTTCCTGCATAAAATAATAGTTTTTTAGCTACTACTAGATATGAAATGCTTTTACATTTCCAATAAAACTGAAAAACCTTTATACTATGAATAAAATCACAACTCACCTGTTTATCTTCCCCTCCCGTGAAAAGAAATGGGTGTCTTTTTGAAACTTTGCAGCATCTAACTGAGCTTACATGTCCAGTTAATGACAACCGTAACCTTCCACTAGCGAGATCCCATATCTACAAAATACAATTTTCTTCATATAATGATTGCTCAGGCGTGAAAAATAAAGTGATATAATTGATATAATTGCTTTGACCAAGAAATTAAGAGAATACAAGAATAAGAGGAAAATAGTTCTTATTAACCTTCACAATCCGATCAGCACCACCAGTTGCAAACCAGTCATTAGTAGGATCGACAGCCAAACATCTAACCCAACCGGTATGTCCTGAGATTACTCTGAAATGTAGAGTTCTATAAGATAAAGTACGTCAACAAATTCTGAAAATTTCAAGTAAAATGAAATGTTCAACTTTGTCTTTTCATTTGTACCTATAAAGTTTCCACGGCGCATGCCATTTAGGTTTGACTATAACAGGTGCTCGACTAGGTAACACTGTACGCATGTTACCTTCTTCTGGTCGACCGGATGCTGTTGCAACTCCAATGCTTCTCTCCCTACAATTAAGAACGAAACTGAAAATGACATTTTTATACAGATTTTTAAAAAAAATATTACTTCATAATCATTTATGGAAATTACCAACTTAATACGAAGCATCGAAAAGTATAAAACGAAAGATAATGAAATTTTGACTCCGTTAAAAATGAATTACAATAACGACAAAAAGGAAAATTTTTTTTTGTAGAAAACCTACTTAATAGTTTCTGCTGTCCCTGCAGTTATAGCAACCATTCTAGATAAACCATTCTGAGTATAATCAGTGATAACTGATGAACTGACTGGCAACTTCAATAGTTCCTCCTCCTTCTTCTTCTTTACTTCACTTACTTCCTCCATAACACTACCATATTCAGATTTCAGCTTCACTGAACGCCATAAATCATCACTAAACAAAACTTCTATGAAATAATTTATTCGTGAAACTTCGGGTAGTTACGAACCAAAAATATCTAAAAAAGTAGAAATCCTTCAAAACAACATTCAGTGACTTGAGCCATCATTCACTTCACAAAATGTAATCTTTCATATGAGAATTCTATAGCAATGAACGATACGACTGATCCTAAAGAAAAAACATGAATACTAACGCTTTTATTTCCAGTTCCGGTGATGTCCCGTAGTCATGACAGAAGAGATCGTGAGTCCTTTTCATCGATCGAAATACTAAATTGAGTAAAGCTTTCTGCTGTGGTGTCTCAAGCATTTGGAACTGCGGCACCGCCTGCTGCTCCAACATTAATCCACTTTCAGAACCAGCCGATAGTCGCTCCATTTCCTATCAAAACACAATTATGTTAGAGCGCATATGGTAGCATAACGCTTCAGTTTGAAACTAAATAACAAAAGATTATGGCATCAGATCTCTCAGCCGTCTCTTTCCTGCTGAAATATACGGCACTTGCACACCTCACTTCGTTAATATTACTAAAACATGACCCCAAAGTAAATTTTTTATTTGTCTTATTCCTTCACGGCATAAAATGGAATTACAATACCACTATGTCTGTGAAATACATGAGTAAAGCTAATTCACAATTCAAAAACTAAGAAATCTTGACAATCTAACATGTACAACAAAAAACGAGTAAGACTTGACAAAAATATAGATAGTCCTACTTTAAAATAGAATTTATCAAATAACTTACACAAGAAATACAACTGTCATTACCGTATATTGAAATCTTGCAATTTTTTGTATTATAAATTACCAAGAAATACCTATGGTCTATTTTTTTTCTCTAGTCTCTGTTATGTACCTCCAACTTCTGAATTTAATGAAACTATTCCCTCAAATTTATGTGATAACAGATGACAATGAAAAATTTTTTACACAAAGTGCTACGATTCAGACATAGGAATTCTGATCACAACGACGCCAAGTCAAATGCAGTTTTCCCTTTCTGCTTCGGCATTTTTCGATTTGTTGAATCTTCTAATTCTCTCGTTTTGTAATAATGAGGTGCAACTTCCATTAACCAACAACTTTCGATTTCAATAACCTTGAAACGTGGAACTTGTTAAACACTAACGGAAAATATATTTCATAGAAAAGTTTCAAAAAAGTGCGAAGATTTAGTTCTGAAATGAAGCTTTATGCTACCATGAACAAGTAGCGAATGCTAAGACTAATTGCAAAATATGAACGACACTGAACTTATGCTTAACTAAACCATCTCATATGGAATTACGCTATGGTTTCCGAAAAAGGAGAGAAAAAGACCCTCACCTCACGCATAAATTCTTTAGATGTGAAAACAAGTTCAAAATAAATCATCCACCGGGGAGTTTGTTCAAACATCGAAGAGTTGGGGTGAATATGTACAGTATGTCTATGCTTTACTGTTTTGTAATGACCACTCGTATCAAGTTTAGCGCAGTTATAAAAATATCCTGCAGTGATTGCTTTCCTGATTGCTACAGAGTCATTGTTTGAAACCTTAAAAAATTTTACTTTATTAGTAAAGATGTAAAATTTGTCGTCATTTCCAACACTTTCCTTTGTTGGAACTACTATTAATTTAATTTAATGAAAACAGCTTTCTACAACAATATTCCAGGTGACATAAAATATATTTCAGACTTATCAACTGAATGAAAAAGTAGAGAGTTTCATGAAACAGTTATGTCCACTTTTTCATCCAAGAACTAATCACCGATTTTTCGGATTTCGAAGATTTATGATCAAAATATCTGAAATCTATGTTTTACAAGTGCCATTTTATGAGTTAGAAGGTTTTAAGAGTGAACCTGGTCAATCTCAACTCTCTCTAGTAAACTTTCAAGCTGGTCGCGAACATCACGGGCTTTTCTCATAGTCCTGTACTGAATAAAATTTTCCATACACCTAAAATTTATGCTATCAAGAAAAATTCGTACGATACAAACATAAAGGAAGAAAATAAGCTGCCCTACCACTGCGATGAATAGTTGGTATCACGCCAGCGACTGTAAACATTAAGCAGTGTAAGATGATCACCGCCTGGTACCCAAAAACCTTTCCGAGCGGCGTCTGCATGAATAACGAGGGTTTTGGGACGATAAAATACCGCTGCATTACAAGATAACATTCCAGCAATGGTTATAATCTCTTCAGAACAACCATATCTTCAATTATTAAGCTTATGTTCCAAATTAAGTAGCCAATCTATATTGATCATAAACCCAAAACTACTTCCAAGCAACTGGTCATGACTAGTGAGCAACAGACATTACAAAAAAAAAAGAAAAAACAGTGTGAAGCACTAGATTCAGTAAAACAGATACAATCAATACAGCTTTTAAAAGGCACACCTGACTGTTATCACTGCCTTTCTTCATATGATCAGGAATATTATTTACATAAAAAAGTAGTATTTAATTGTGAACATCCTCTATATTTAAAGATTCACAATTATAATACAGAACACTGAACTCATACCTTATATTATAAAACATAGGAAATACTCATACTTTTCTGACGCGATGATCATTTTACTCATACATGGATCACACGGAAACTCAGCCATGCGTCGTCCCAATTTCGTGAGCTCACCATGGTGATTTAAAGCACCCAATGCATATAATTGTTCAAGAGCTATTACCAATGTTTCCTGAGGAGGTGGATCCAAATAATCAAAATGCACTAAATCATGTATGCCTAAGCTTTTCAACATTAACACAACGTTGCCCAAGTTTATTCGCTGAATCTGAAAAAACTTTCTCCTTCAAAACATACAGAAAAACCAATCTACTCGTTAATTAGATGGGCAAATTTTATTTCTCTTAAAAAACACAAGACATGTAACAATACTTTATGAAAATGAAAAATTTTTAAGACTCATGACCTCTGGAGTAGGCTGATCTTCCAATTCATTTTTATATGCCCATGCTGTGTACAAACGAAAACATTTTCCAGGACCAGTGCGACCAGCTCTTCCAGCACGTTGATTAGCGGCAGCCTACAATGAAAATTGGTTTCAGCTCAAAATAAACTTCAAATAACAAAAAAAGAGCACTTTCTAAAGAAAATTAAGCACTAAACTCTTGAAAGCTATGCATATACTTGGAATAATTGACAAACCTTAGAAATTGTCACAACATGCAAATGCTCAACACCACTTCGAGCATCAAATGAATTTTGTTTGCTAAAACCTGGATCAATCACGTAAGAGATACCATCAATAGTAATCGATGTCTCAGCTATGTTTGTCGCCAAAACAACCTGGAAATATGGAAGGACAAAAATGAACATAAAGAAAGTTTCACTCTCGTAAGAAATGTCAAGCATATTCAATGCAATAAAACGTACCTTTCTAGCACCTGATGGAGTTGGTTCGAAGATCTTAGCTTGTAGATCTGATGGAAGATTAGCATATATTGGCAACACAATTAGTTCCTTGATCTTTTTCCCCAGATATTTCGTTCTTTCCATTAAAGATTCCTGAGACCAAAATAAACGGAACTTAATTTAGTACACCTTATTAACAATAAACGATGCAAAATTTTAATTTTTTCTCACTATTTATTTGGTCATAAATGGCACTTATTTAATAGTAAGCAACAAAATTTCATATTTATGAGTTCATATTAATGAAGTGACGTCTTGTAGCTAAGCCTAAAAATAATAGATTAATTTTAAAACAGTAAAAAATGTTGAAAAAGCAAGAAATGAAGAATCTTTAAAAAATCAACATCATGAACAAATTTAGTTGCTTTAAAAAATAATTTTACCATTAGTGTTTCGATTTCTTCCTGACCAGTTAGGAAAACTAAGATATCACCGGGAAGTGGTTGCGTTAAATGAATCTGTAAGATTGATACCATTGCAGCATCAAGATAATCAGCTTCTGGGGCTTTTGTGTAATAAATATCAACTGGAAAACGTCGACCTAAAAAATAGCATATAATAACTAAATACACAAAACTGCCGAAACACAGATTCACATACGCCATGTAATTACAACATTAGCCAAACATTTGAGATCAAATTTAATACTTTCAGAGCAAATAAAAGCTTCCACTTTCCTAACCAGGTATCCTTAGTATTGGAGCATCATCAAAAAATGTAGAGAATTTCTCAACATCAAGAGTTGCAGAAGAAATCATGAGTTTCAGATCTTTTCGAAATCGTGCTATATCCTTTACTAAACCAAACAAAATATCCGTATGAAGCGTACGCTCATGTGCTTCATCAATGATTATAACACTAAAAAAGAACGACTAATTTTCCTAAAACAGAAGCAACAGCAAAAACAAATCTAACGCCTGGCACACTAATTTTTTTTTAATACAACTTAATCGCAATTTTGACCGAACCAAAAAACACTGGCGAAGGGTAAAAATCTTGTCCCTTAAAATGACCAAAATGCTATAAACCTGTAACTGGCTAGATCAGGTTCATTTAAAAATTCTCGCAACAGCATACCATCCGTCAAGTACTTGATGACTGTTCGTTCTGACGTACAATCTTCGAAGCGTATTGAATACCCAACCTTAATCAAAGATAACTTGACTGTATCTAATATAATAAATCTGACTAGGAATACAATATATATGAGAAAAGACTTCAGGAACTGAACAACAAAATATTTACATTTTTAATAACTTTGCACTTAAAGAACAAATAAATATCCCACGTTTTGGAGTAAAAATTAAAAAAATTAAGTAAAAACAATTAGAAGTTCAAAATGAACTTCAATTCCTAGCTTCACACCCATTTCATCAGCCACTCGTGCTGCTACACTCATCGCTGCTACTCTTCGAGGTTGGGTACATCCAATTTTCATATTGTTCCCACAGAAACCCTTAACATAATATTTAATAGAAATTAAGCAACAACCACTCAGGGTATACCCAACTTTAGAAGAAACTTTAAAAAAGGCATACACAATGAATGCCAAAGTTTGTGCAATTAAATCTCATTAAATGTTAATTTTATTTTTTATTGAACTCTATTTCTTCTTTGAATTTCATATTGAGCTCTACTTCAGTAGCTAAAAATTAAATATTAATAAGATCTGTCTCTGATGTCTCTGATGTATCTGAGTGTATAACAACAGAGGTTTAAATTTCTTCTCAACGAAAAAAAGGGAATCTAGTTGGTAACAGTGACAATATTAAAAATAATAACAACAATTAGTAGAAATATGTAGCAATGGATTAACAACAGTGTACAAACCGCTTCATATAAATACTGTGGAAGTTGAGTAGTTTTTCCAGAACCTGTTTCACCTTCTATAATAAGGATTTGATGATCGCGAACCGCCTGTATAAACTCCTCGCGATAAGCATAAACTGGAAGTGTCTTTCTTGTTTCAGCTAAAGTAATTTTTTTTCTCTGTGCAGTCGACATTGTCTCCTTTAAAAACAATAAATCCGACTGAGAAAATGGAATGTGATTTGGGTGAAAAACGAATTAAAAAAAGAGCACAATATAAGCGAAACAAACAACGACAAAAACAAAGGTCGACATAATCACAAACAAACCTCAACGTTTGAGGATCCTGGCATCTGAAAAGCCTGAATGAAATCAACTTTTTCGTCGTCTAACACCATTTCGAATTCATCCCGCTTCTGCAATTAATTTATGAAAAAATGTACAAATAAGTTGCTAAGTCTAGTAACACACAAATCTGAGTTTTCCAAAAAATCTAAGACCTTATCTTTAGCACCATATTTAGCAATCGCAGCGGATAACCGATCATCTTCCCACCGTTTACCATCACCTTTTGAAATTTCATCCAAGTCTTCTACATAATCCATAGGTATTGATTTGGTCTTGGAATCCGGAACATGATACCTTTTAATTTTCAGAAAATCAGCGGCACGTTCATGTTGTCGTGCGTATTCCAATATGTCTTTCCGATACTTCATATCTGATTTCTCTCGTTTCGTTAAACTAAAGATTTTTGATGAGAAAATTCTTCAACCAATAACATGTAATTTCTGTTAACTAAATGACTGAAAGAACAAAAGCCCCATTTAGACAAATGATTCTACTGTCAATTTAGAAATAACTTCATCAAAACTGGCTTAGAATTGAAAACGCATAATAAAAATATACTGCTCATTAGCGAAAAAGTGTTCATCGTCTTCAACAATTTTTTCGAGTTCATCGAGTTTATCGTCTTTTCGTTTTGCTAGATACAGTTTTCGGCTTTCCTCTCGCAAATGTGGAACAATTTTATTGCGATCTATTGTTTCCAGTTTCAGCCTTTAATGTTTACCAACTATATAAACAAAAGAATGAATTTGAAGCAATGTTATCATACTTCGGATTGCAAAAATTTATAAGACAAATATACAGATCATTAATTGATAAACCTTTTGGCAGCCTCTTCTTCCGCTTTTTTCTCGGATTTCATCCCAATGCAACGTGTTTTCTCTTGATCCCTTTTTCTCATTCTTGCCGCTAGCTCGTCGCGTTCACGTAGATCTTGCTTTTCTTCTTCATTTATTCGATCGATCACATCATTTGCGCTTTCTATTAGTGAATGCTTAATGTTGATTTTTTTATTCTGTAATAAAAAGAGCCCCAATTTACTTTCAAAAAAAAATTATAATTACTAAATAGCAAGGATTCACTTGATCATTTGGTTTCGACTGCTAACCTATGAAGTAAGAATGTAAGACTTTTCAAAAAAACTAAATATACACATTTAAGAAGGAGAGACCATAAATGACCATGTATTCGATCAATAAAATAAATTTATAACGAAAATAAGTCTCTATATAAAAGCTCTAGCATGTAAAAAAAAGCAATGAGATAATTTCTCTATTTCCACCTTCTTGTTTTTGTTGAATGATACATCATCATCCCATTCCATCACTTTCAAATTCCGATTTAGATACATAATTTCTTTAGCACGCAACTCACTCGCTGAAGGTTGCACGGTTCTTTCTATTTTAGGGGCTAAAAATTAAAGTGATAAATTCAATGATAAGTACGAAACTGATGCCTTATTAATCCTTCTGATTTCAATCACCTAGAAGAAAAAAAATAACTGCTTGAGTTCAGTCCGAAGATAGTACGATTCGTACTTTACACCAATTCTTTTAACATACAACGCACAGCTTCTGAATGCAAAATAGTACAATAAAGTTTTGCAGTGATGAAAGAACATTATGCAAAAATCAGTTACAAATCAAGTATGTCACAAAGCATGCATTGGAAAATGTGAGATAAACCTGCATGAGGAACCCGAGATAACAGTTCGTTAACGAATTTCCTTACAGACGGTGTATCTTTCATAATGTCGGTACTTCGCAATCGATGTAGCAAATCGTCATTACACGTTGATTTGCGAGCTAATGCCAAAATATATTGCACAGCAGTGCGATCACTGCAGCCAACCAATGAGTATAACTCATCGTTTACCCACTGTTCAAGAGAAAACGCCATATACAGATATTAAAATATGAATTCTGAGAAACGATTATCGTTGAAGGTATAGCACACAGAGATAATTTATCACCGTCTCGACTTAAGTTTATTGTAATTTCGAGGATAAAAAGCCGATCCCCAGCTAGACAAGCTGAAGCTTGAACCTGCAACAAATAAATTTTGAAATAACCACTGCCTATAAACACTCAAGTTTGTCGATATAAAAGACTATTTCAAGCAATCAGCCATACAAGCTGATCAGAGTTGACGACTACCAACAATGAAAATGTTGGTCTCACTAGAACATATTTCCGCATCGAAGTGTATCAACCCAGCAGTAATTGCTAATACTCTCTCAACATCATTTCCAAAGTTTCCGAAGTGACGGATGTTTGCAAAAAACTACACCAGTTTTATACCTATATAAGAACTATTTTAGAGCTTTTATTACTGAGAAACCGTGACCTATCCTTGATTACTAGTACTCATCAGAATATACTACTTAGCAAAAAAATTCACTCGAGATAATCAAGAGATCCGATCACTCGAGGGTCTTCAGACTTGAAGTGAAATAAAATCATAGACATAGCCTGAGACATAAGTTACAACGAAACAGTCAAGGGCTGGTAACAGAAGACACAGTATCTAGTAGTTCTGTTTCCACTTTGCAGAAGTGTGTATTGTCTAATGCATAACCGATCGAATGCAGAAAGCATAAGCCAGCGTAAATTGTGTGATACACGTTGGAATGCAAATTTTAATTCATGTTCACTTCCTAACAAATTTACATGGACAGAAAAAATGTTATATTGCGAGCAATCTCACCGACACTAAAAGATCAAAATATGATAGTCGCACAAGCTTATTTACAAGTACAACTGCAAAAAATCAGAAGGGGATTTCATCTTGAATACAAGCCCAGTCCTGCAGAAACCCAGTGGATTTTGTGGACTTACCTTAAGAGTGTCGTTGAACATTTGCATAGAATTACAGTGCTTAAAATACTATAACCCATATTGAAATCCAAATGAAGAAGGAATATTTTGAAATTTTTAAATATCACATTTCACTTCTTGCAGTTATCACTAATGATAATTTAGGACGTGAGACGTGACAAAAAACTACTTTAAAAAATAAGTAAGACAGGTAGAATGTAATTACAGACCATACCTGTTTCACACATCACATACAATTATTACGAGAACTCCTTGACAGCGATTAAAGTATATAAGTTTGAAATCTGTAGTCATTACAAGGAAGTATTCACAAAATTACTATTCGAACTATTAATAGATTCACTTTATCATGCGACTACACTCAATCTTTTATACTAGCCTGAGGAGGTAAGGTTTTGACGGACTCTACGAAATCATTTATTACTGGAACCGAAAAATCGGTTAATTCGCCAATAGACTTCGAAGTAAATCCATGTTGTATTTGATAATGTGAAACTAGCGCAGATACATTGCTAACAGTATTTATCGGTGCATCGGATACTGAGAGTCTTCGTGATGGATGCAGACAACTGCATTTTTCCTCAGTCTCACATCTTACAAAATTCAGTGTCACATTTGATGACAATTCTACGTTCACTGCGTCTAATTCAATACCCTTTACTCTTTCACCTTCCTAAAATAAATGTTTACATTATATGTGAACATTCGGTCGATAGTTATAATCTGCAATAACTATCAAAACATAACATGGACCAATTATAATACAAACTTGCGATACTGAGTATCGCCCCAATCCATTCATTTGGCATGCCTATTTTCTTTCCAGATAATACGTACAGAAAATAACTCCTCACATTTTTCCTTTTCAGATGGCCAAAATGACTGAACTTATGTTGTTCCATTTTTGTAACAATCCGCTTCTTTAAATTTTCGACACCTGAAATTCGTCTTAGTATACTCCACAGTAACATTTCGAAAATTAATGATGATGAGAAATGATAAAAACTGCGACAAGAAAACAGGAAAATCTAAAATAAGAATCCAGGGTAAGACAAATTAAAAAAATCATGTGGATACACCACATTCAATAACAGCATTAAACTGAAAAAATCAAATTAAAGAAGCTGAATTTGAAGCCGTATATTTTCAAGTCAAGCGATTTATTAAAAGAGCAATAATCAAGGAAATATATTTTAATCTAAGCAGGATTCGTACATACTCGTACATAGAAGAAAAAAATGAAAGTAATTCTATATAATGGTATGGCAACGAAATAAACCACTATGAATAAAAAGAAACTTACCATCAGAAAAAATGCATTCTTTACTGCTATCATCAACAACAGGAGAAATATCCTCAGGCATTTTCTTCAATCGCAAAGACGAATTTGTAATAAGTTCACTTCCTCGACGGCCATCCACCTTCCCATGATTGCTTCTGTTACATTTCAATAATCTTTCGTTGCTTTGAAAGCTGCTTTCAAGCAAAGTATCCTTAATACTATTCGTTACCTGGAAGTTTTATAAACAAAACGATGAAAAAAAAGTTTCTGCTTAAATACAAAAGGTGCGATCCAGACAATTTTCAACTTACTAGAATTACATCCGAATAAAATTCATATAACGCTCTTTGATGTACAGCATCGATTGCCTGAATAGCTAATTGTGATTCACCATTGAATAAAGCGAAGTATAAACCATTTAGAGATTCTAACAAATATTGCGCAGATGATTGCAATCTAGGTTTCCTACAAATACTTCAAGTAATACCAGTCAGTATGGAGAAGGTAGAAAAAATATACAGATCTAGAGAAGTGGAAGAACATGTTATTCAATAAAAAACCAAGAAATCTGAGGAATAAAATGAAGGTCAATATATGAAAATGGAAATAACACACATGGAGAATTCATCTAATTCTTCGGAACACAAATCTTCATCACAAACCCGTGACTTTAAAGATGTCTCAGAGAAATGAAAACCACTTTGACAAACAGAAATTGTAGTTGAACATATATATTTACAAATTACATCATGTGATAACCGACAAAGACATGAATTCACCTGAAAGAAAAACCCCATAAGTTTAAATGATTTATACTTCAGTGATTTAATCAATATTTTACTTTTCATGTGGGGAAGACTAAAACTAGTGATGATATAAAGCTTACTGATTTCAGAAGACGAGTCAAAATTGTTTGTCTATTTTCTGGTGTAATCTTATCCGCAGATTTGTACGGTCCAATTCGCACAGTCATCTTCAAATAAATGATTACATCAGAATGTCGCGCAAAATAAAAGGATGCATGAAATCAAAAAATTATTGGACAAAACGTGACAACAATTTCTGCGATTACTTCAACAAAAGAAGTTGACCCAGATTTGAATGAAACGTCGGACAGAATATTGAGCTTTCTTGGATCGTGATACACACTTGGAAAACGCGTAGACGGAATTCGAATCTTAAGTAATTCAAGAATGCAAATGCTAAGAAGTAAAAATAATACTCAAAATAAAGTAAGAAAATCTTATATGTGTGGAATCCAGATTAATTGTGGTGATTTTTACTTAATATATGAAGATAATTAACAAATAGATGAAATGCAGCTGTCACTGCTTCTGCAATATAAAAACTAATCGATAAATAAAACAAAGGAATAAAAACTAATTTTTAAATTTTTCTGCGTGCTGATACTAACTTTGTCGACTTTCTTCATTCCTGATCCAGAAGATGTGCCAGCCACAAGTATTTCTTCATTATAAATAGCAAGGAATAGAATTTCAAACATCGAGATTGATTTTTTTTGACGTTTAGCAAGAGCCAATAGATATAAATGAATTAAAGATGGAATGCACTGCATAGTAAAATATCGCAATACACCTGAGAAATTACATTTTAATCTTAAACTTTAGGCCTTATCATTTTTCACAGTATGTTTAGCTTGCAATTCAAAAACAAAATGGAGAATTTGCAAAACTGAAAAAAAAAACTATATAATATATGTCAAAAACGCGTATGAAAATTTCCGCACCTAATTCACAATTTATCACTCTTTCATTTACAGGTTAAAGTATATTTCATTAATGATAAATACTCCACTACTTGCAACTGGGGTACGAATATGGTAAATTTATGATAAAGAATGTGATTTTAAAAGCACATTCCAAATTCAAAAAGTTACCTCCACGACAATAACACGCAAGTAGTTGTCCTAAAACTGGTTGTATCAAGTCAACATCAGCATAGTTACACTTGAGATAATTTATCAAATAATGCGTATTACAAGCCTCAAGTTTCAAGAGCATTTGTTCATGTCCAACATCTTTAAGTGCTTGTTTTTCAACACTACTTCTCCAACGTTCATTTAAAGCTGTAAGCCAATCTTGCAGTTGTTCGTTATTCATTGTTTCTGGAATATTAAATTTTGGCAAGCAATCAAATAAACATCGACAATACTCAAACAACTATAATTTTTTCTTGGATTAATTCGTATATGATCTTACAAAACTTTCCAGTAGCTTCTCAAGGAATAATTCGGAAAAATTTAATGATGAGTAAATGTATATGAACACATAAACTGCTCACATTTAATAAAAATTAATCATAAATATTGAAGACTGCAAAATCACTTAACTTAGAAATTACAAATAATCATCAAAAAAAAAACTTTGATAATAAGAACACTATTGGAAATGAAATTGAAGTAAAACAGACTAAAACAAAGCTTGAAGCAACACTAACAAGGTCACAAATGTTCAACTATCCTAAGATGCTGAATTAAATCCAGTATTATAAAAATATAAATGAAGAAATCAAGGTTTAAAGTTAGAACAATCAGGACATTTATCTGGGCAAAAATTTCCAAAGTTTTAGCGCGGTATCTCGCCACATCTTCCCGTCAGTTAAACTGACAATTCAGTAACTAACAGGACACGAAAGCACCGAGCATCAAATAATCCAAAATTAGCCATATGTAAAGGATTTAATAAATGTAAGACTTCAAGGCAGGAAAATAACACGGCCTGAAGCCTACGCACAATGCAAATATGTCTCATGCAATTGTAGTCGAGAAAAATATTAAGTGTATGAAAAGATCAAGAAACGCTGAACTTGTTATAGAGATTACGTGGATGTCATATAGACTATATAAGTATAGAAATTCGCACGCTAGCTAATATTTTCTGTCTTATTGATTACAGTGCTGGATTGCATTCTGACTTTCTGGCTGCACTTTTTCTGCGCTCAGATTTGTTGCGCTCATCTCCATTGCTTCATCCTCTTGGAACCCACTTCAGTGATCGAATGAGATGCTTTCGAGCGTCTTTTTGAGCACTATCATTTGAATACATGCTTCAACGTCATTGGATACGTTAATTTCGTTCGAGTAGCGTTTTGGAAGTTCGTTACAAGTCATCACATATGTAATTATTTTGGTCCTATATTTCATCTCTGACCAGAATTTATTACTAAGTAGGTCATATTTCCGTTTTTTTCTCGATCTCGACTGCTTTCAACTTGTCCTGATCTCTATCAGCAGTACTTCGTGTCGCTTCTTGTTGCACACAAAAATGTCCGGTGAATCCGCCCTTATTCTAATCACTGTTTTTACTCGCGTGTTGACTCTGATTTCAACGTTCTCGTTAGCGACGATTTCTTGAACGGAGTAGCTCTGCAAGCGTGGAAATGCTTTTAGACTATACTTTTATTAGTATTATTTTTTTATTTTTAATTATCGATATCACTATCAGCATAACAATTATTATTATTTAATAAGAGGAAGCATATGTTGTTTTCTGACAATGATTGATATATTACTGCTGAGTGTATGTTCTCGCGACTAGCGGAAAAATTGGTGAAATTAGGTGCACAAGAATGAGAGTTGCTGGTTGCTGGTTGGTGGTTGGTGGTTGGTGGTTGGTGTGTAGATAGCTGACTCATATTGTTTGCAGTTTCTCCCTGGAATGCTGTTATTTGCAAACAATTGATAGCGCTGCTGCTCAGACCTTTGAGGTTGTTCAGAATAATCTCCTATACCTGCTGTGCCAGGGGTGTGTGGAAAATATTTCAAGTCAAGTGAAATGAATAATATTTCTGATGAGAGTAGGAAGATAGAGAGAGTATGATAGACTATTAGCCGTACTTTAGTAGTTTATCTCACTCGTTGTTAGCCAGGTCTTCACACTGAGTAACTTTTCAAATCCTTGATGTTTTGTGAAACTGTTGTCACCAACGATTGATTAAAGCTTATTTTAATTGGAGGAGTTTTCAAGGTGCGGGTAGAAAGTCAGAAATCAGCAGTATGTTGATGGAATCGAGTAATCTTTCTTAGTATTTGTTTACTGCAGTCAGTGATGTGTTTATTATGTTTCTAATAGATTATATGGTTGTAGCACAAATCATTACTTCAGGAATCAACTAAAACTTGCCTCTAAACGGTGCAAGGAATTTACGGACATTATTGCTTTTATCTTAAGCTGAATGAATAAAACAGTGTCATTCTAACAGAAGAAAGTCAGGTGAGCAATAACATCTTTCTGCTGTTCTGCATTACGAAATTACACGTTGAGATTAAGGGGCGAGTAGCTGCAGATCAACTTTGATTTCTGAAAGCTTTGGTTCTTATACATTGGCACTGTGTACAGGAAGAAAAGTACTCATTATGAATCATTGACTGATTCATTCATCTATTTATTCACTCGTTCATACTTCCGTTCTGTAACTGCTATCCAAATCATAACTATTTTTGCTATTTTACTTGGTCACTCAGTCCACTAGTTTTCTGATTGTTTCGCTTCTGAAGACCCATTTTTCTCATTGTGCCATCCCATATTTACTATCTCATACATATTTTTATCTCGTTACTTCCTTGGCCTTTGTTTCTTCTAAAAATTAGCAGCGAATTTGTCTAATTTTATTGATTAGAGCTCTAATTCCACAATTGACACACGACAGTTTAATTTTGATCATATTAATTCATTGGAATCTGAGTTTCGCAAAATATAGTTTATAAAGTGGTACAATTCTTTTATGAACATTACAATTACTTGGAAAATTAAACTGTCGTGTGTCCTAGATATAGAAACATTTCATGAATAGTATACTAAGAGCGTAGAATTTTTCTCGGAGTTGTAAAATTTGCTTGTTTACAAATTTTTTGAGAAGCAGAAAATTTCAGGTGATCTTTGAACATGAGAATGAGCAGAAGAAATGAGTGAAGTTAAAGACAAATAACTTGTAAGAAATGTTTCAAAAAAATTCTCTGGAAATAATTTTATTAATGCTTTTCGCATTGTTTCAAAGTACATGATTTCTGAAATCATTGAAAAATGAATACTTATATATTTTTATGTTTGCCATTACTTCCATAAATTACTGAAAGGCTGATAAATTCCGCTGACAAAATTTTGTTCATTACATTTTTTGGGTGATCCTCTATTCAGTAAATTGATTGAATAGTATGGAATCACAGTTTCAGTGCTTCTCACTTGTTTTTTGAAAATAGTGTAAGTTTTTCTTATGATTTGAATTTTTTAGAATTTCTCTACTTTCATTATCTTCACTCTAATTTTTATTTCTTCGGATTATCATCACTCACAGAATCATCTTCATTTTTTTCACTAAATGTGTGAATCTCCTGCCGGTTTTTCACGAAATTTGTATCTCAGATTATAAAGTCATATTTCAAACTTCGATCATGATGATGTAGTCAAGTATTGAAGTACAGTTATCTTTTTGTCACTAATCATAGTCCGAAAATCTATGTGCCAGAGCTATTTCTCATTCAGGCTTAAACAAAATCTTAGATTTATGTGCTTTTGACTCTAAATTTTTATATTTCATTGAGCAAATATTTATTTTCACAGGTTTTTTTTTTCACAAATTTTAATTTCTTGACGTACTGCAGAGTATAATTATCTAAAGTGTAAATAACTTATCTTACATATTGATTACTGATTTATTAGTTGTGGTATTCTAGTGAATCCTTAAATTCCAATTATAAGCATTAGTGAAACTGTTGGTAGTTAACGAAAATAACTAGGATAAATAAAATTTAGCTGTGCAGTTCTTTATATGTGCATGAAAATTGGTTGTGTCTGGAATTATTTCATGTTTGCATTGTTTGTAGAAAATGCTGGTTTCATTTCGCGAACAAGCTCAAAGCTATTACAAAGAACTAACACCGTGGGCAAAAGCGGCAGTACTTGGCGGAATTGCAATAGCATTTTATATTCCTTACAGGTATTTTATCACAAGACCGAGGAAGACACTGATAAAAGGAGATTACAGAAATGGTAAGTCGTAAATGTTTGAGCTTATCAGAGCGCAATATCATAGTCTTTGTACCAAAAAATAAGCTCTAAAGTTAAGTTATTTAGGTTATCAGAATTAAAATCAAGTTATAAACTTAGAATTTCAGGAAAAAAAATCAAAATTGCAACTTAATCTGAGGTCTAAAAGTTTTTCCTAATTTCGGATCTTTTTATGCCAAAAAATTCCTAAATAACTATTGAAGTGAAAAGAAAAACTTTCATTAGTGAAAAAATAAAACTCAGTCAACGATGAAAGTTGTAAATTCGGTTATGGTAGTAGTCATAAATGGGACTTATGAAGTTTTCATCTCTAAAATGATAGGATAGTTCCTTCACAAACTGTAATCAATTAATATCGGAAATATAGAAATTTAGTAAAATTACAGATATTATTTCACTTATATCTGTGCATGTTTAGGAATGGTCTATCTATATCAGCTTCCACGAATAAAGTACATCCCAAGTTTGTCATCATTTTGCTTGAAATTGGAAACGTGGTTGCGTATAGCCGATATAAACTATGAAGTTAGACTATTACGTGCTTAATAATTAATTACTATGTATTTGATGATTAGCTGTCATCATTTTTTGCTCTGGTAATAGCATACATGTTTTTGTTGTTACTGTAACTTCAATATGAAAATAGTTCAAAATTATGAAATATTTGCTGAAATATTTACTCTTATCTTTAAATGTCTAAATTATGAAAATGGGTTTCAAAATATATAAAATTTTGACTATATGATTTACCGCTCCAAGTACTCGATTATAGAATATATGCTCTTGGCACACACGTTCGCTGGAAGGTTCTGTACCATTCTTGGAATATAATGGCAAAGAATATTCAGATTCTTCTCTTGCTATAAGTTAAATATGAAAATCATTGTTTTTGTGAATTTTTAATATTCATTTGCTAATTATAATAATTAATCGGTATGAATTTTTTTTTACTTTAATAATTCGTGTGAAACTGGCATGCAGCACTATTCTTTGCTCCACTGGAGTACGATATTTCAAGTTACTGAATTTAGTGACGTTTTCAATTTACAGGGATATGACGAAAATATTTGCTAAAGAAGCAATGGAAAACCATTTGAGTAGTGAGCAAAGAGCCACATCTCATGCATTCGAAGCAATGGTGGAAAATTCTTTAATCATGAGTGTTGCTTATATTCAGCTCATGGACCACAAAAATGATATTTGGCGTGAACTCCCGAATGACGTTTATAGCTGGCTGAAGCCATTCTACAAACTTTTCTCATCGTTCAACTTTTTGTGTGTAAAACATTTTTACTTCCTCAACGAAATCTTGTTTCAAACCATTTTAAACAATAAATTTCTACTTACATAAGGACATAAGATTTTACTGAAAAAAATATTCAGTTTTTTTCTGAAAATGAATTCCGTTTTACTTCTAGGCTTCAATTATATTATAATTATTAATAATGTGTGAAATTATCAAATGTAGTTTTGGCCATTTATCAGACAGTTATTTATCATTATCATTTAAAACAAGACATGTGTTAACACACCTGTTATCAGATTTCTTTTTTAATTGCTAATCAGTCATGTAATGCGCATTTCTTTGTATTTTTAGCTTTTTAATTTTTTATCTTTTTGAGGTACCTTTTTCCAATATTGTTACTGCTATTTACTGATTTTTCTATCTTTTTCTCAAATTAATTTTGTAAACTTCCTTAGATTGCATTCAGTTTTTTTATCGCTATAAAATTTTCATGACGTATGTTTTTAGGAATTGAAGAAACTGCAGAACCCTTCATTAATGAAACACACCCGAGAAGAAATTTTGACTATGGCAGATAATGATTTAAAGGCAATATCGTCATTTCTTGGTAGCAATTATTATTTCAGTGGCTTTAAACCAACAACAGTTAGTTGTGTTTGCTGCTTATTTAAATATATCGTTTCACTTAAATATTCTAAATTAATGCTCTAAGTTCATCTATGCATTCAATATCATCTTTCTCTTTTGCTCATCACTTAGCTTGTTCATCGGCTAGATTGTGCTTTTTAAGGTGGATGCAACATTATTTAGCGTGTTAGCACAGATCGTCTATGCACCTTATGAGCTGCCGCAGAAAGTATCAATTGAACGAAATTTTCCAAATTTAAAAGAATACTGTGATCGGATTAAAGGTTATTTTAGTAATTTACTTTCACTTCAGTTTTTAACAGTGTTCAACTTTCGATTTTAAAAAGAAAGTCATTCGGTATTCTGTCATTGTTTTTATAAAATAAACATATTTATTTTGAGTTGCAATTTGTTGAAAAAATATCAGCGGGTCAGATTTGAATTTCAGATGCTCTTAAATTCAACTTATAACAGAATACTTATTATATTTTAAAATTAATCTTAGGACGATATTGGCCAGATTGGGAAGAATGTACTAAAAAATTTACTACCAATTCTCAGTGGAAGAAGAAAATATGAACAAATCGCGCGTGAATGAAAAGTAGACGGCGTGACCAAAAGAACCTATATAGCCTTATACAAATGTTAGAAAATTGTGATAAAGTAGGTCGGTTTAGTTCAGTACCCTTCGTTTTCAGTAATTGCTTTTCTTTTCTATTGCTTCATAAAAATCCTTGAGCAGTTTGATGTGTGTTGGTAGTTCGTGAAAAATCTGCAAGAAACCTACTGTATTTGGAATCAAATTACGTTATGAATATTCATTCATATTGTTTTTTCAATTTTTTTTTCTTGAAAATTCCTTGCATCTTGTAGAAGAAAAACTCATGTGACTGAATGTCTGTTTGTTGGCACCCTTCTGCTGTAGAGCTCCAAGATTTGCTACAGTGTTTGTTTGCATTTACTTGAATCTGTTTTTGAGCACTGTCATCAAAAAATGCTGCATTTTTAGTTTAGTCAGTTTTCAACATAATAGATGCTTATAACTGTTGTAAAAACACTTATTAATCCTGTTATTTATTGGTAAATTTTGGCTTAATTATAAATTTCAACTGTTTTTTTCTCTCACTTCATATGTTTCAGTTTCTCAAAATTATTATGCCAAAAAATAATTCTCATTTCGTTTTATCAACTCAAGCATTCTAAAAATCTGGTATTGTTCCTCCAAGTTCCTTAGTGCGAAAACGCATATTTTTTGTAAGGGAAGTCGAAATGAGAGAATTGGTTTATGCAAGTAAATATAGTCAGTTTCGAAGAATTTTTATACTATGGACACTTGTTTTAATTTTAACGTTTTAATTTATATGTCGCATTTTCTTGCTCTGAGTGTTCAAGGTGATTGCTCTATTTACATTTGTTTTCTAAATTTTTTCTCAAATTATGTTCGATATCAGTTTTCGGTATATAATCAATTATAAATTCGTTTTGCTTTCAAACACTATCAAGATATTGTTTGCTAATTATAAAAATTAGCCCTGATAATAAAATGTCAAATTTTCGTGGTATTATCAAGCTCTACCTCTTTTACAAGTACGACATTACATGCTGCTTTTCTGAATTTACAGCTATATGCGAATAAATACTAGCCAAGCAGAGAACTGGCAAGTAGTTGATACATTTCTGTTGACTTGAAATTCTTTCATCCATTCTCCTTTTATCTGGTAATCTTAAGTAGTATCTAATTTCAACCAGTCTCAGGGCAATCACCGTCAGTTTACGGTTATTCTTGACTAAACACAACCCACTGTGTCAACCGGAAGTTGAACTCGAGTCTGCTGCACTTTCAAGGAGCGTGACGATACTTCTACACAAACTGGATTTTTTATCAGATTACTTTCGTTGATTAAAAGCTGTTATTGTTAATAATTTGATAATGGTTTGTTAGTCAAAACATCTCATTACTATGTGTTACACTTTTTATTGATAATCTAAATACCTTTCTAGAACTTTTTTGGTAATAAGTCTTGTCAAATTTCAAAACTATTCTTAGCATAATCTTTTCTAGTAACCGAAGTAGTCCGAAGTTGCTCATGACCACTAACAAAAATCTTGAAACTACTATCAAAATCAGTAGTTGCGGTCGAATGCAAGCAGTACTTAGGACATAATACAGATCTTCCAGTATTATTTTGAATTCATCTATCTATCAGATATAATAAGGGATCATGTGCGATATAGAAGTTGTTTGGACATTATAAATAAATGTTGACTTGAAAGATGCAGTGTAATTGTCTATTATTGCTCAGTGCTCATAAAAGATGGCATTGATTTTTGTCGCTCTCTATATTTGATTAGAGTAATACGACGTGCAAAATTCTTGCTGCTGATAGATATTTAAATGACACGATATGAAGTAAGATATAATGAGCTTTTTGGTACTTATTTCCAGTAAATATGTAAAGTACTAATTAAGTGTGCGAAGTACAGGAGACTGCTGTTTTGGCTAGAAGTAAGACCGAACTGCACCTTACAATGATTTTCTTTCAATATTATCTCTCAAAGATTTATCAGTGTGCGATTTATTTATCTGGCAGCAAATGAACACAGGGTCAGCACAGATTTTTTCATTTACATTTCATTATGCAGAAGTTGCTTATAAACCTACATAAGTAGCGGCAGTAAGCAGCAATTTACTAATTTATTTGCTATAGTCTGTGCAGCGCAGTCAGTTTGCTCACTTCCGTCTTTAACTCACTCACTCGTTCGTACTGGGAATTTGCAAGGTGCATCAAAGCATGAATAGATTAGTTCGCAAAATGAAAACAATATCAGTGAGGTTTGTCGCAAATATATATACTATTTATGCTAATATTGCTGAAGATGTAATTTGATTTTTCTTCCCAACTATAAGTTTAGGTTGTATCTTATAATGACTAGCATATGACTGACTATTTCATTAATAGTAACAACAAACTTTAAAACTAGTTAATATTTCATCACGGGCAGTGTAAACTGTGTCTTGCGCAATCTCATGATAAAATGCTTGTGATAAACAAGGCAGTAAATTCGTAACAGATGAATAGAGTTATACCTCTCAAGAAGGAGTTTTTTGAATTTATATAGATATTAACAACGATATAATTTTCAGGAATTTCCAGGTATTTCTTTCATTGTTATTTTGCTCTGCTCGTTTTCAATCATCTCAAATACTTTTTCTTTGGGCAACCTATTTAATTCCTGAATAATCTTAAGCAGATGCTGGAGGTTAAATTAAAGATTGTTTAATGATGTTTCGATTCAAGATCGACGGCTGCATCAAAAAAAAAAAGGATTTGCTGAGTAATCAAATTCTAGTCAAATATTTCAAGTCGCTCATTTTTCTCTTATTAATCGGAATTTATTCTCACAAGTTTTTTTTTTGTAATCAATTGAAATGGTTTGCTAAATCAAGCGAAGTTTAAACAGATTTATTAAGTGATAAGACCTGAACAAATTGGCCGAGAGTGAAACCATATCATATCAATTTTAATTTATTATCTTGTTGATGAGAGCAAATCAACCTTTCTGATATTTAGAAATTGGTAGAATTTGATATGGTTCAAAATAACATTAATTATAAGCTATTCAGTTCATGATCAAAAAACTGCTTCAGAAAAAATCAAATAAAAATAAAGATAGTAACAGCAATAATGGTTCAAAACTGACAACCAAAAACAGGATTAAATCTTTCTTTCATATTGGCAGGAAAACAGTTGACCACAGGTAAACCAACCAATCATAGTGTCAAAAATATGCAGAGATTTATTATTGTTGTTCGTTGCTTCTCACAAATATAGTAGATTTATTGGGATTTGTAAGACAATCTTGACAATTATCTTCGAAATATTTACAATAGTTGGCATGATATGCTACATAACCGTTCTATAGCAAAGATTCATGATTTATTTGATTTTATATCAAATTTTGATAATGCAGAAGTGAAATCGTCGATTTGGATGAATTTCCAAATATAGAATTGGAAAAACTGAAAACTGATTTAAAAAGTTCAACAATTCGTGACCAGGTCAAGTTACTTTTAAAACGCTTTTAAAAATATAAGATAATTGGAAAAGTTCAACAAACCGAATTCGGAATAGTGAAATATGAAGAGTGCTAGCTCATAAACACTAATACTATTTAACTGATCATACTTAGGCTAATAAATGGATTGATCAGTTACTGGATAAAGGAATATCTGGCATGGAAACCGAACTAAATAATTTGAACAAATCGAAAGAAAGAATTAACACTGCAGCTTTTGATGCCAACATAGATCGTAACTTTAACCAAGTAAAAAAAGCCTTTTGCACTGATAATTTACAAGCAGTACTCCTTGAAAAATTCTTTCATAAACATCCATACCTCACTCTATACAATTTTAACGTGCTTCTAATTTGATAACATCAGTAAACAGCAAGAACTTGTGAAGGAAAAATCATAAATGCTCTAATATTACTGGTTTTACTCGTGAGTTCTTGTAATAATTGCACTTCATAAACCTAAATAAAATTTTTGATATTCATTGTTGCTGGTTCGAAAGATGAAGCTTCTAATTTGAAGAAAAAGACTATAAAGATAATATTTTAGAAAGTAATATGCAGAGATGAAAACCGTGTTATACTTGAAGGTGAAGAGAATAATTATATTCATGCAAATTATATCAGTACTCCAAATTTCACCAAGCATTTTATATGCACACAAGTATGCAAAAAAATTACTCATCTTTTGTTTAATTTTATGCAATAAAAATTATAAATAGTTTGTAAAGGCAAATTTTTTAGTCTTGTTATTGTAATTTAGAACTTTTTTAAAACAAAAAATCAAATGTATAAGTTCTAATTTAATAAAATAAATAATAAGTATTGCTGTGATGCTAACACGTAAGACTTTTTGAAATATAATTTGAAAATGTTATTTGATTTGCTAAAAGAGATCAGTGAAGCTGAACAATTCTTAATATTTGACTTGAATTATCATCAACTGTTGTATCATTAATGAGGACGCACGGTGACAAAATGAAGAAATATTCGGAAATCAATGTGATGAATTCTTTATGTTCAGAAGTAAGCAACAATAAATTCATGGTAGAAATAAGACATTTTAGCGTCCAATGGAAACTACCACTGAACTTTTTTACAAGATGCTTTTACAAGAACAAGTAGTAAGTATTGTGATGCTGTGCTCTCTGACCGAAAATACCGAAAAAAATTGCCCCGCCTATTTTCCACAGAAACCAACCGAGAAATCTATGAAATTTGGCTGTATCACCGTCAAATGTCTCAATGTAACCCTTGATGGTATTATTAAATTTATCGACAGCAAATAAATCTGAGGGGATGTTGCAGTAAAAATATTTCATCTGTTGATTGGTGACGAAGAAAGAGATAGCAGTATGTTGGCGCAGTATGTAATTATTGGTGGCAAATAATGAAATATATTCAGACAGAAGAAATGAAGAATGAACCAGGTATTGTTGTCACTGCTTTGGAAATTCAAGACATCGATAGTCAAGACCTCGTGGTTAGGCACTACTACTGCAGAAATTGGTCAGAAAGGAGTTTTCCGGATCCAGCCTGTTGCATTTTCACCTTACTATGTGCTGTACGAAGCTCCAAGAAGCCCATTATCGTGCACTGCTCTGATGGTTATCATATTTGCAACTTTTATCTCACTCACTTTTACGACCATGTTTAATTTACTGCACCTTGCAACGATCAGCAATACCACAAAAAACAGACAGTAAGGCATACAATAGCGACACTTCAAAAGCACGTTATGCATATTGAATTCTTTGCCGAGATCTTACTTAAGCTGTAAATGAATATATATATACATATATATATATACAAAAGTTGACGCTAGTCTTCTTTCTCCTTTAATAATTCTGGCGCTTGATCGCATTCCGGCACTCTGGCTGCACTTGTCCCACGGCTCAGATTTGTTGTGCTAATCATTTTTGCTTCGTCCTTGTGAAAACCGTAACAATGATCCAATAATTTGCTTTCGAACGTCTTCCTTAGCACTATCGACTGGAATACATACCTCGACTTGATGAGATATACTCATTCTTCTCCACGTATCGTTTATGGAAGTCCGTTACAATCCCAACCAAGTCATCATATACGTAATGATTTCCGTCTTGCACTTCATCTCTAACTCGAGGTTATTAGCCAGCAAATCATCCTTTTGCTTCTTCTCGGTCTCAACTGCTGTTAACCTGTCCTGACTACTAATACCGACCTCAATTAGGATTACTTCACGCCGCTTTTTATCGCGTATCATGATACCAGGTCGATCCCCTTTTATTCTGATTCTCACTCGCGTGTCGACTCTGATCTCAACATTCTCATTCGCGACGACCTCCTAAATAGAATGGCTTCGCAAGCGAGGGAATGCTTTCAGACCATACTTCTTGCAGAGTCCCAAGTGGGTGCATCGTAGGACCTCATTGTGTCTTCTACTATAGTCGTGATGTAACACTTTTCCGCGCTGCATTGCTAGATGGTCCACCACGGTCTTCACACGTTCCACACAATTTGGCACATACCTTTCTCACCTCCAAACATATTTCTATCTTGGATATAACAGTATCGTGTCATCCTGCGGGTTTAATGTTTCCGTATCATAGCCATTTTGATGAATCAACTATAAACGAGATTTTCTTCGTCCGCATCTTGTGTAGCTTTGCATAGTGAGCTTTTCTATTTCGCTATACAAGAACGCCTTCTGGGCTGCTAATACGTTTTCAACAGTAAGATTTTCTGCGAGGCTGTACTTAGTCTTTAGATAGGGTACAGCAACTGCCAAATTCGTGTTATGAGCTTTCTCCTGCCTCAGAATCGCTGCCCTTCTGGTACAAATGGGTGCGGTATCTACAAGAACATTATGTAGCTGGAGAAGCACAGGCTCACTGTTCTGCTCATAATTATGAAGTTCACGTCCTATCTCGTCCCTTGGCAGGTACAGTCTTTTCAAGCATGCAGGTCTTGTGAATTCCGTATTTGATTAGTAACTGTCTGATATCGTGGTCTATAACCTTGAAGTCTTCTGGCTCCAGCTTGACCACCCCGATGTAATAATTTATTAGACTTATGGCGTGCTCATTCTCAGCCTTGATAAAGTTCTTGTCATATAGTGCACTTCTGACTAACCGTTCAATTCTCACTAAAATCTCTGACGGACTTTATCGTAGCTTTCACGGACAGGTGCGTAGGTGCACTGGTCCTGTCTTCCACTATTCCAAGGTATTTATACCCTTGAGTTCCTTCCAATAGCGCCGCCTTATCAGCGCATGCTTCGTTGTTAGTTTCTTGATTTACCTCTAATCCTACCACATCAAGAAATTTCTCAACTTCTTTGGCCATAAACTTCATGGTATTCTCATTGGTCGCAAAGATCTTGAGATCATCTACAAACAATAAATTGGTATATATAGGAGGTGCAGCAAGTCTGAGATTGATTTTTTTTTCTGTATTCTTAATTCTCGCGTTGGATCGTATTCCTGCACTCTGGCTGTCTCGCGGTCAGATTTTTTGTGCTCATCTTCATTGATAATGAGCTGTTTTTCAGTGTCTTCTTGAGCGCTATCGATTGGATGTGTGTCTCCGCATGATCACATATACTGATCTCCCTCATGTAACGTTTATGCAAGTTTGTGTCGCTGCCCGATCTTTTCTTGCTCTCGGCTGCTTTCAATCTGCCTTGACCAGTGATGTAACCTCCATCAGCATTACTTTGTGTTCGTGTTCGTTCTTATCGTACACCAGGATGTCTTGTCGACCTGCCCTTATTTTATTCGCTGTTCTTACTCATTCCTGAATTTTATCTCCACGTTCTTATTCGCAATTATCTCCTGAAGAGAATGGTTTCTATGTTGGAAATGCTTTCACACCCCACATTTCACAATCTCAGATGAATGCATCGCAATACCTGGTTATGTTTTCTAGTATAGTCATGACATAAAACTTTCTCACACTACGTTGCTAGGTGGTCCACCGCCTTCATACGTCCCCTAAGATGTTGGCAGTTACTTTTCTCAGCTCCAAACATATTCCTATCTTGGAGGTGACAGTATTTTGGAGATAGTATTATCGTAACTACACTGATGAATCTACTTTTAAGGCTAACCCACTACTGCTCATTGTATATGACTTTGCATGATTAATTTTCTTTTTTATTTTGCTATACAGGAGCGCTTTCTGAACTGCTGTCTGTTTTTTAGCGGTTGCTTTGCCTGCGAGATTGTATTTAGTTTCAAGCTAGGGTACAATAAGTGCTATGTACGTCTTGAGAACCATCAATTCATTTATTTATTTTATCCAACAAATAGTGAATAGGTGTCGGTCGAAGTGGAGTATTCGTCGCCCTTGAATATTTCCTGGAGAAACTGCAAGGTGAAAGTTGTATCGATGCTATTGAACTGGTCAAGGAAATTCGAAACCAGCGTGCCATGGCCATCGAAACCCCTTGCGTTTGTCCTTTAGAGATTACATATGCTTTCTTCATCACGAAAAATGGTACAAAAAATCATTCCTAACAACCATTAATGTACAGTCAAATAGCAGTTCCATAAAATAAGGCTTGAAAATAACAAATAGTATCATAGAGCAATTATATATTATATAAGTTGCAGCAATATATGATGCTTCACCGATTGCTTCTTCAATTCTTTCAAGAGCTGAATATAGCGGATATGTCTCAACGTCTACTAGAATTTATTGATGACTATGACGCGTACACTAAAAAGCACAAATAATAGTTAAATTCATGAATTTCGAAATATTTTCTTTTTCTTTATAAAAAATATCAATATACACCTATTAAATAACTATACTTTCCTCTGTAAAAATGAAAAGTAGCTTATTTTTGTAACGAATCTAAAATATATTTGGAATAACTGCATCTGAAACTGCTCACATTCACTTACTACGATCACTTTCTAGCCTTATATAAATACATGTCCTTTTAGGTGGAACATTGAATCTGAATTGAATGAAGAACTAGAAACAGTTCCCATCATACAAATAGCGAACATGCACCTTCAAATTAATCTCAATACAATTTACATGTCATGTTTCATAGAACATATCTCAACTAATAAATATTATTATTTTTAGTATATCTAACAAATCTCTGAGATGCGTCACCAGCAAAAAGATAAAAACAGTTTATTGAGAACTAAAGTGATTATACCGAAAATAATTTTTCAAATTTTCTCACGAAAAGAAAATAAATTTGCACTGCGATTGAAACAAATGGGATTAAAATCATTTGAACTTGACAGCTGGACAAAATCTGCTTATGATTTGCATATGTGCTAACGTCTCATATATGCAAAATTAAAATTTTTCATGACTACGAATCGCATAAAAACCCCAGAAATACTGAAAAGATAGGTGTTTCGTGGTTGCTCTGGCAACTCTATTCCATTTTGAAACCAAAATATGGGTGAATCAACGATAAGCCATGGAGTAGGCTACATAGCACAACCTGAAGGTGATCGACGAATGTGTGCCTTGTGTAACACCTCTTTAGGTGAGGAGGCTGTGATCGCAATGAACCGTCTTTGGCATCCCGATCACTTTCGCTGTCAAGCCTGCAATTCGCCCATTAAACAAACTTATCAGGTAATAAAACACACTCCATTTTCATACCTAAAAAAAATGGCAGAACGGAAATAAAATAAAAGCATATATTTGCTTGTATGTATATATGAAAAAAAATAAAATTAATAAGTGATGCCTCTTTCTTGCTTTAATGATTCTGGCGCTGGATCGTATTCCAGCACACTGGCTGTTCTTGTCCCGCACTCAGATTTCTTGTGCTGATTGATCGCTTCTGTTTCGTCCTCCTGAAATCCATAGTGATCATGAGATGCATTGGAGCATCTTCTTGAGCACTATTGACTGAATTAATCCCTCGAAGTGATCAGATATACTTCGCGTAGTGTTTATGGAAGTTCGTTACAATCCCATCCCAAGTCATCATATACGTAATTATTTCCGTTCTGCATTTCATCTCTAACACGAGGTTATTAGTCAGTAAATCATCCTTTCGCTTCTTCTCGGTCTCGGCTGCTGTCAATCTGTCCTGACTAGTGATGTCAACCTCAATCAGGATTAGTTCATGTCGCTTCTTATCGTGTATCATGATATCCGGTCGATCCGCTTTTATTCTGATTGCAGTTCTCACTCGCTTATCAACTCTGATCTCAACGTTTCCATTCGCGATGGCCTCCTAAATAGAATGGTTTCGCAAGCGAGGGAATGCTTTCAGACCATACTTCTTGCAGAGTCCCAAGTGGGTGCATCGTAGGACCTCACTGTGTCTTCTACTATAGTCGTGATGTAACACTTTTCCGTGCTGCATTGCTAGATGGTCCACCACGGTCTTCACACGTTCCACACAATTTGGCACATACCTTTCTCACCTCCAAACATATTTCTATCTTGGAGACAACAGTATT